TCTCTGATTTATTTTTGGAATTTGATCATCTGCTTCTTCATCATCTTTCTGATTGATAAAATCTCAGTTCTCTAATTTATCTTTATCTTTTTATGTAGAGAGAGAGAGAGAGAGAGAGAGAGAGAGAGAGAGAGAGAGAGAGAGAGAGAGATAGGGAGGTCGGTTGGGTGTAGATAGATATATAAATATAGTTGTTTAACTTTACGTAGAGTGTCGATTTTGAGAGTGGAAGATGATTTGCAGAGTGTGGGAATGCTGGGCTTTCGGGAGTCATTTGTTCCACTAAACGAGGTCGAGAGTTCCAATGAACCCAAGTGGGTAGAGATAGAAAAAATTAAGAGAGAGAGAGAGAGAGAGAGAGAGAGAGGAGAGAGAGAGAGAGAGAGAGAGAGTAGGGTTGGCTTGGACTTCTCCCAGTTGGAATTGTGGGTTTTTGTCTCAGTACAAAGACTAAATTGGAGCTATACTTGTAGTTTAGTATGACACTCGTGTCCCTTTAATCTAGTTTATGGTGATGTGATTTAACATTATTTTTTTATAATTATTGTGGTAATACTTGATTCTGAAGTGTTGGAATGTGGTGTTGAGAGTCAGAGTCAGAGTCAGACCATCCTAAAATGACCACTGCCAAAGGGGTGACAAACAACAACAGCTATATAGCTCATTCTTTAATTAATTTGTTTGCCTATGTTTTGACACATAGACTAAGACTACACCTACCTAGCTATACCTTATACTAATTTATATAAGTATACCTTGTATCGTTCTCAAGATTTTTCTCTTTTCAGCCTCTCTTCTCTTCTCTTCTCTTCTGTTGTCTTTTCTCTCATCTTCCCAAAACTACATTCTTCTCTGCACAAATGAAAATCTAGAGAGAAGGATACAAGAGATAGAGTTGCACTACTTGGCTTTTGTTCCAAACCCTAGCTTTATAGTCCCCTAGGTAAACATTTATACTAATGTTTTCCTCTCTACTGGCCTTTTGCTTTTTGTTGAACATATTTGTCTTAACATTTCTGATATCTATGTGCAGGAGAGGTTTTTGATTCTTTAGAGAAGAGATTGATCAAAGAAAATGGGTTCCATGAATTCAAACAACTGGCTTTCCTTTCCTCTTTCTCCTACTCATTCTTCTTTGCCATCACAGCTCCATCCTTCTCACTCTCACCAATTCTCTCTAGGGTTAGTCAATGATTCTATGGACAACCCTTTCCAAAACCAAGGTAAAAACCCTCCTCTTCCTTTTCACTTTCACTTATTATTTTTGGGTTTTTTTTTCTTCCCCTTTTCCTTCTCTCTATATGTAGCTCCTTCTCACTCAGTCTTATTGCACATAAACCTTGTAAATTTACAGAGTGGAATTTGATTAACACCCAAGGGAGCAATGAAGTTCCAAAGGTGGCTGATTTTCTCGGCGTGAGCAAATCCGAAAACCACTCTGATCTTGTGGCCTTCAATGATATTCAGGCCAACGATTCGGTCTCCGATTACTTATTTCCCAACAACAGCATAGTCCCAGTACAAGACACAGTTGTAGCCAATTCTAGCAGCTATGATTTCCAAGAAAAATCCAACAGCCTTCAATCGTTGACTCTCTCAATGGGAAGTGGCAAGGGCCCTTCAGCATGTGAAACCAGCACGGAAAATACCAGCATTGCGACTGTGGAAGCTCCCCCAAGAAGGACTTTGGACACATTCGGACAAAGAACATCTATTTATCGCGGCGTAACAAGGTGTGCCTATTTTCATACTAGCTAGCTCTCCTTTCAATTTTATTCCAATTTTGTTATTTTAATTAGATAACATTTTAAACTTAATGTTTATGTCATTTTGAATAAGTGCAGGCATAGATGGACAGGAAGGTATGAAGCTCATCTTTGGGATAATAGTTGCAGAAGGGAGGGACAATCGAGGAAGGGCCGCCAAGGTATGCCTTATTCTTCTACCAGCTAGCTAAGCTAGGTTTCTTTTTTGCTTTGTACAGTTTTCTTTTTCCTTTAATGAGATCATTAATGTCACTGATCATTACCTTCATCTCGTTTCATGGTCATCTTTGTTTCCTACGTGGTCTTTGCAGTGTACTTGGGTCAGTTCCAATTTCTAACTAGCTATATTTCTTTATTTGCTTTATTCTAAAGTTAATGATTTTGAAATTTGTCTGGATATGAAGCAATTTATTCTATATCCTTTTGGGAAATTTTCTCTTATTCGTGTAGGTGGGTATGACAAAGAAGAGAAAGCAGCTAGGGCTTATGACTTGGCTGCACTGAAGTACTGGGGAACTTCTACTACAACCAATTTTCCAGTAAGTTTATGCTGAAAAGCGAATCAATGAGGAAATCAATGAAAAATGTGACAAGAAAAAAATAAAGAAAAGAATAAGCAAGTGCAATGTTAATGTATATCAATGGCTTTTCAAGTGTTGTGCCTGTTGCAGATCAGTAACTATGAGAAGGAGGTGGAGGAGATGAAGAACATGACAAGACAAGAATTTGTGGCAGCCATTAGAAGGTAAGTAAATGAGATAGATCATAAATCCCTTAAGCAAAATTTTCAGAGAATCTTTGTTCATTATTTATTTATTTATTTATATAATGGAAGGTCTTCACTTTGCTTTTCACTTAATTAAATTTTCAGGAAAAGTAGTGGCTTTTCTAGGGGAGCATCCATGTATCGTGGAGTTACAAGGTACAAAAAAAACTAGCTATAGCTAGCTAGGCATGCTTTGTCTCTTTGTCTCTCTCGTTGTCTCTCTTTCTCTCTCATAGTACAAAACAAAATCTTTGTTCAGGCATCATCAACATGGACGATGGCAAGCAAGGATTGGCAGAGTTGCCGGAAACAAGGATCTTTACTTGGGAACTTTCAGTAAGTCACTTAAATTACACCATGCACCCATTGCAATTAATGCATTCTATTTTCCACAACCAAACATACAAACCTAACAATACTTGTAGAGAAAAAAAACATTCTGAACAAAACTATGTAGGATATTCATGTAAAAGTATTAAGTTTGTGATAAGCGGCGGTCAGTAAATATGAAACATGAAACATTACTTGGTACGTAGGTACTGAGGAGGAGGCAGCTGAAGCTTATGACATAGCAGCAATAAAATTCCGAGGCCTAAATGCCGTGACCAACTTCGACATGAGCCGGTACGACGTGAAGAGCATTTTGGAGAGCAACACCCTCCCAATAGGAGGAGGAGCAGCCAAACGTCTCAAAGAGGCTCAAGCCCTGGAATCTTCTAGAAAACGCGAAGAGATGATAGCTCTTGGTTCCACCTTTCAATATGCAGCTGCCGGAGCCACCAGCTCATCAACCTCAGCCGGTCGGAATTTGCAAGCATACTCATTGATGCAGCCGCAGTCAACTTTTGACCAAGCCGTACAGCAACCATCTCAGCCCCTACTTTCTCTACAAAACCATGATATTTCTCAGTACAGCCACCACCATGACCCTTCTTCATACCAAAATTACATCCAGACCCAGCTGCAGCTGCACCAGGCCCAGCAGCAATACCAGCCAACCCAGAACCCTCACCACCAGTTCTACAACAGCTATGGGCTTCAGAGCACACACCCAGCTTTGCTTCAAGGTCTCATGGACATGGGCTCTGCTTCTGGGGTTATGGATCACAACAATGGCAGCTCCAGTGGGAGTTATAGTGCAGGAGGGTATTTAGGTAATAATGGAATTGGGTTGGCTTCAAATTCATCAGCAAGCAATGCAGCGGGGTCTGCTGAAGAACTTGCACTTGTGAAGGTTGATTATGATATGCCTAATGGTGGAGGAGGGTATGGGTATTTTTACAGTGTGGAATGACTGAGAGACATTTTGTTTGGGAGAATTGGTAATTTTGTAAGGTGGGGGAGGGGAGATTAGTAATTTTGTGATGGGAGGATTAAGCATGGTTTTGGAGCAATTTACTATCCCTATTTTTATTTTTGTACTAGTATTTTCTTCTCTTTTTTGGGTTGAGAACTGACCATAAATTAATCCAATTGTGGGGTAAAGATCAGTAGGATCAGTAGTATATGGGTGCAAGTGGAAGTTGGAACCCTAAATTTTGTGTGCAGAAGAAGACCTAGCTATTGCACAACTGCTGATGTAATTCTACTTTTATTTACTGTATGGACTTGTTGCTTTTACTACCAAATCACAAAATGCCATTACAGTAATTCAACACAACTTTGTGTTTGTGTTTTTGTATTAGTAAGTTTTTTAGGACACCTTTAAAATCAGAAATTCAAAACTACCATCTACCCAAAAAAACAAAAAGGCTTGATAAGGTCCGGCCCGCTGGGAGTCCGAGATGACTGACCCGACCCACTTTAGACTCCTTCCCACATTCAATCACACCAACTTATTATTTAACCCTAGCGTGCTTACTTACAAGTTACCACCCCCTCTCCCCTCCTCCATCATCAGTGTTCTCTCATAGATGAACTTCTCGTTAATTCCAGTCTAATTGAGGTTGGTAGTTTTTCCTTTTTTGAAAATTTTTTGGAAGTAACAGTTTTTTATCAACTTTTTGCTGATCGAAGTCATTAGACAGTCTGATTGATATCAGTATACTCTGAGTTTTAATTTCCATTCTTCTTTCTGTTTCATGTTTCTGTCCATTCTTCTTAAATTTGGGAAAAACAGTTGGAAGCTTTTTTGTTTAATCATTATGGAGTCCCTTAGCAGAGATTGTTTTATGATGACATGGGTGGTTGGTTTGTAGTTTATTTGTATTGCAAGTAATGGAGGGTTGGACCAAAATTTTGATTTGGATGAGTTTATCTATAAAACATTTTTTAAAAAATGGAAGAAGAGAGAAATTATGATCCCTTAGCTTTGAGTTAAACATTGTACAATATAGTATAGAGGTCAGGACAAAGGTCTGTACTGGCATTGGCTAAGCTTAGATTATACTGCTAATAACAGTACTAATTTATTTCCTTTTTGTCAAATTATCTCTGTATTTGAGGCTTCGAGTAGTGGTTAGCTGTTCATGTCTTTGAGTGAGGCTTCTGATACATATATTTTGGTTGATCTTTTCGTTGTTGAAATCGCAGTCACGGCTTTCAACATGAGATCAACATTATCTCCGCCTCAATCACAAACCAATCCTACTATTTCCATGGAGGAGAAGCAAGAAGAAGAAGAAGATAGGATCAGCCAGTTGCCAGATGACATTCTTGATCACATCCTATGCTTCCTTCCTTCAAAGGCAGCCGCTAAAACAACCGTTTTGTCTTCAAGATGGAAGCATCTGTTTTGGTCTACAGTCACTAGGCTCAACATCAACATGCACAAAGAGTCCACCAAGCACAATGTGGAGCCAGCCATTCGATTATTTGAGGCTCTTTTCAAATGCAAGACACTTATTTCTGCTGATATTACCACCAACTTCTTCCATCTCCCAGAGATTATTTGTGTGCCCAAGTTGCAGTTTCTCCACTTAGAAGTCACAGAAAACATTGGCTCTCTAATGCAGGGTTTCCATAGGATTGTGGAGATGCAGCGCCGCAGTTGCCCGACATTCGAAGGCTTCATCCCCATCCTATCTGCAAACAATCACCTGGTATTGTGCAACACCAAAACACCAAGAGGGGAATATTTTTTGGAGATTGAAACCGTTGGGTCGCTTGGGGAGTTAGGATGTGCTGCTAAGAAGAGGAAAGAAGCTGCCTATGTATATGCTGATCGTAATTATAATATGGTGGCATATAGTGGTTAGTTTAGTAACTAGCTTGCTTATATTGGATTTGAATATTATATCATATTACAAATAACTAGCTTACTTCAAACACTCAAATTGGATTTTAATATATATCATAATATGATGCCACACATCAAGTGCTCATAATACTAACATGTTGCCCCTTCATCCAAGAGAGAGAGAGGGAGAGAGAAATGCAAACAAATTTTCAAGTTGGAAATAATTACAGTGCAAAAAGAGGTCTCTTCTGGTTTTACTTGGATCTTAACTTTTTGTAAGAATTTAAAAATAAAATAAAATAAAAAAAGCTTAAATCAGTAACCCTTAAACCTCCAAACCATGTCGTTTAGGAGAAGAATCTCTTTGAATGAGACATAGACAAGAATATAAACATTTTACAAATTGTGAAAGGCAATAGATGAACACAAAAATATAGAGAAAGAATTAAATTTGAATATGAAAAGATCAAACTAAGCAATGCTGGAAAAATGAGAATCGAACCTATGACCTAGAATGCATAGATAAATACGCTCTTAATCATTTCAGCAACGTTTTTTTGTTTCGTCCGAAATAATATTATTTGTTAACTAATGGTGGGCAAGAATTGGGCCTCAAGCAAACCTTATTGCTCCAATTGGATAAGGCCTTCATCTTGGATCAACTTTTTCTAGCATTTGACCTTATATTTATTTTTTTTTCACGATAAATAAGTTTCGAAAGTTTATTAGAAAAGAAACCCCTAGTAGAAATGAGGGAGGTGAGGAAAAAAAAAAAAAAAAAAAAAAAAAAAAAAAAAAAACAAAAACATCGTCCTATCGGCCGCCGAACTTAAAAAAAATAAAAAATAATAAATAATCTGTTGAAAGTGGCGAATGCCAAATGCTATGATACAAGAAATGAAATCTATACAATTGAAGGAGAAGGTAATTCAGAGAAGCACAAGAAAAGCTCTGTCGGTCCTTAAATAATCTTTCCGTCTCTTACTTTGTGCAAGATTTTTGGGCTTTCATCAATTCACCGTTGAGGTAAGCTCTGCCAGATTTGTAAAATTCATCCTTTATTGCTTCTTTCCTTCAGTCGGATTTATCTTTTATTTTTTCTGTGATTTCTAATTGGATCGCAATTAGGGAATTGGAAGAAAAATATTAATGTGTTATATTGGTCGTGTTGTTGATTAGTTGGGATTGGAATTGTGGTCCAGTTTCAATTTGCAGCTTACAATATGTGATTTTCCTTTTTCTTGTTTTCTTTTTTCTTTAAGGGCTTGTGATTCTGGAGGACCCATTGATGGTTTTCTGTAAAGTTAGTTCTGTTTTCTGGGTTTACACGTAAATCTGTGACTTTTATTTCTGGTTGTAGGTGGTGAAAAAATAGGTTGAGTTTATATGTTCTGTGAAATTTGGTTTTCTATGTCAATATCACAAAGAAGGTGGGGGAGTTTTAAGATTAGGATAACTGTTGTTTTTCAATCACTTTGGAGCTGAATCTTGTTTCTTGAGAAATTAAGCTTTTCTAAGACCATGGTTTGTGTTTGAAGTCAGCCTATTTTACTGTTTTTTGGTGGGAGTTTAAGATTAGGAGGAAAGATGGGTTTTTGCATGCAAAAACTTCATTTGTTTATTTGTAGTGAACAAAGGCAGGCGGTACTGCTCCTGTTTCCAGTAATAACTATCTGATTCTTTTAGTTTTTCAGCTTTACTATTGCATTGCTCCTGATGCCCAGGCAATACAAATCTATAGTATAACTGACTTCAGTATAACACACATATCCTGATTTCTCTATCGGACAATCAGAACTCTGTTACAGCCATCACTGCTGGTACTTCTTATTGTAATCTTCACATGCTACTGTATACTCCTTTCAAGATCCTTAGCTTCTTATAAGTTTATAGAAGAATGCAGCACCAACATTTGGCATGCCGCGTTGGTGCATATCAATGTAGTATTGCGGCATATGTTTATAGCTTTAGAGATGTGTATCAAGGAGGAGTACTAGATTGAGGAGAGAAAGCGTTGCACATTTCTAAAAGCATTAATATCATCTACCATTCAAAATGTGAAGAAATGCATAACATATGTGAATATCTACTCTGAAAATTGTAATATAAATTTTAAACCTAAGTTGGGAGCCATAAATACTAATCGAATAGGTCCATCCAGTACTCAACACTAAATTTAACTTGTCTAGAGAAGTTTCTGATGTCGGATTCTTGTTCTTCTGTTACTGTTAATGATTGTGCATGAAGTACAAATAGGTTATTGTAGTTATTTCCGTTGATAGCTGCTTTTCTATGGGGCAATCAGACACACATATTACAAAGTAATTCAGTGTATATGTGGAAGAAACAGTGACCAAATTAAGAGTATTGTCATTGTGTAGTTTGTACTTACTTTTGAGTGGTGGTTCCCGACCAGATGCTTGGCATCTTGTTTAGGCTCCTGTGTGAAATGATCAGTACTGTTTATTGGTTGTGGTTTGAGCAGTGATATTCCCTACCTACGGATATCATTTACTGTCCCAAACTGTCATTGATTACATCTTGTGAATAGTCAAATTGATTGCAGCCTTGAAATGGTTTAAAATAAACTAAATCCTTAGCTATGAGTTATCTCATAGTTTTCCCTCTTTTCATTTATGAGTTCCTTACAGGAATTGGAGAACCAACTTTACGTTTCTGATTTGTAGTGTTTGTTTTCACAGACTAAAATTATCTTAGTATGTGTTCTTACTGTTCAGAAATTAAACCAAATTATATGCTCTTACTCTTTCTGCTGAGAACTAATATAATGTTCTGTTATCAGCATACGAGGTGACAAACAAAGTGATGGTGAAAGCATACACGCAAGAGTACACATACAAGCACCCATGGGAGAGGGTGACTTCTGCATCTTGGAAAAAATTTGCTGATCCTGAAAACAAACGCACTTTGTCACATATCCTTGAAGTTGACACTCTGAACCACAAGCTTGATCCTAGTACTGGAAAGCTTTACACCACACGTGCTATCACTGTCCATTCCCCAGGACCATGGTTTGTTCGCAAAATTGTTCGCCAGGATGTCTGCCACTGTGTTGAATCAACGGTTGTGGATGCAAAAGAACGATCAATGCAACTCACCACCAACAATATCAGCCTCGAAAAGTTTATAGAGGTGGAGGAGAAGATCAGGTATGATCCCCACCCAGAAAACCCAGATGGGTGGACAATCTGCCGACAGGAGACTAGTATCCGAATCAAACCATTATCAGCATTGGCATCTATGGCAGAAAAGGTTGAACAACGCTGTGCTGAGAGGTTTGTACAGAATAGTGCAAAGGGTAGAGAGGTTATGGAGAGGATATGCAAGTATCTTGAAGCTGAATCTAAAGGGCTTGCTAGATCATAGGGCATGTGAACTCTTTCACAGTAGAAATAATAGAAGACTGAAAGAGTGTAGAACCTGGACTTTTAACCTTGAATCTCTTATTGGTTGAAATTTTGATGCGGTAAAATGTACTGTTGGGAACATTAATTTCCCATTAGATTTAGTTTTCGCTATGTGTATCTAATTTTCTATTTTTATTTCAAAGATTACAGTGACTTGGTGATTTATGTGGGGTGAACTCATTTGCAATCTTGGCTATTGTAAGAAACAAGTTGACTGCATCATGGAGAACTTTTCTTGGAATATATACTTGGAAGATAATTGACCAAAAGTGTACACTCCATCCTTTATTCTGTCCTCCTTTGAGCAAATGTAGCGTTGGCTTTGTGACCAATCTTCTTGGTGCTTTTTCACATTTCAATGATCATTTTATTTACTCAGGTATCGCCACGTAAGAAAGAATATATTTTATGATTCCTTGAACTTCTTTGTTTCACGAATTGATCTTATTAAGAATGAAATTTTCATGTCTTATTCCTATTTCATGTCTAATTCCACGAAATAGGAATAGAAGATGTTCTAGGAAATAGGGACCATGAAAGCCCATTTTTGCCCCATTCCCATATTTGATTTGTGTTATATTAGCAGGAATGAAAAGTAGTAGTGCAGCTGAATATCTTCCGGCAATAAGACTCCTCTTATGGGTGATCCATGACACTCTATTTCCCCTTTTTTGTAAGATTACTTTGTACTTTCAACTTTCCCTTTATGTTTTAGTGATGGATGAAACTAGAAATATTTTAAGTTCATTCAAAACTTATCACAATCATAAACGGAGCACTCTTTGATTAAAATTATGCCTAAAAACCTAATCGACGAGAAAGGGAAAATAGATTCATGCATGGAAACCACATCGATAATATACAATACCAGTCATTGTGTCCACATCTGAGAATTGCGACTGAAATGTACTACACGAAAGAAATGCCATATAGACAGCAAGTAGACACATTACGAACATTAACCCATAACCATGTCCACCAAACAAGCACAGACAACAACACAAAGTTCTCCCAATCACAACAAATACAGAGTTCTTCAAAGTGCTGAGATGTCCATGCCTTCCCCAGTAGGACATAACATAATAAAAGGGCAAGTGCTAAGATATTGCAGCAGACTCTGAAGCCATCTCCTGGATGAAAACAAGCATCAATTCCGAAATATGAAACTTCACCACATCAGGCTTAGATTTTTTCAAGCTTATCAGCCTTTACAACAGGGTTGGCTTTAGCAATCACATCGCGTGCAGCAGTGTGGTAATCATAAGGGCAGTCATGTTTGTCTGAATAACGATGTACTGCACAGAAAAGGTGACCACACCGACAATTGAACCCTGTTAATCCAACTCTCTTGTTGCAAGTTCCGCAACGTTTTGGGCCTTCTGGCTTTGCCTCACCACTCCCTCCTGAACCTGAACCAAAGGAAAAGGATGGTTGTAAAGAGATAGTTTTTGGCTCCACCAGATGGGCTTGAACATCCACACCAGCAGCAACAACAGGTTCATTTCCATTGCTGTTTGATGTTCCATTGACAATGTTTCCAAAGGATGATGCAGCGAGCTTTGCCTGCTCCTCTTTCAACATCATGTCCTTGTGGCACTTGGAACACATATTCCTAGTAGCCACACTTCCAAAAAACCCACAATTGTTTACACACAATATAGGACCCTCGGGGTGAGGTTGACAGCCAGTCTCCTCATGCTCCATCTTTTCAACTTACCTGCAAAGAGAATACCTGAATAGGGAACCAACAAATCAATGGGGGACAGCTAAGTGATGTAAGATATAGGTGAATTGTAGATTTAGGCAGTTTAGCGGAAGCGAAAACAATGGAAAACAGAAAATTAGATTAATAAAGATAGGTCTGGAATCACTCCAGGGTCTTCACACCAGAATTCCAATATCTGGAAAATAAACTTTAATGCAATAACTCCACTCCACTCCAATGAACTACATGGGGGTATTTATAACAAAACCTAGAGGCAATAGGATAAAAAATCCCTTGCTAAAACAGAAATCCTAACCCAAATAAATTAGGAAACTAGAAATCCTACGGAAATTTGGAAAACTAAAGAACCTAGGAAACTAATAAATGATGTCCACATCACTAAGAGTGGAAACCCAAACCCCACGCCCAATCTTCCTTTCAAGATTTGATTTCTAACGAAAACTACTGTTATTGTAATTTAATGCTAGTTTTATATACCATCGAGAAGACTAAACTTTTGTTGAAAAGACAACTTGTGATACTCTATCTGATTATCATGTCACATAATATCATAGAGGTCAAGCAGGACAACTCATCGTTAAATAGACAACATTTAGATTTCAATCTAGCATATAATAGAATAATATTGAAAATATTGAATGATGTTGAAAAATTTACAAATGCATTATTGTAGAAACCCAAAAGTACATTACACATGCCAATTCAATAAGCAATAAAAAAATAGCAAACTGCTATTTGTAGGCATATACACACATGTATTGGTGTAGTGTTAGAAACAAGATCTTTATTACAAGACTTGAATGGCCATTCCTCAAACCAACCATGTCACGTATTGTAGTTAAGCTACATAAACACCTACCAATTAACTGACAGCAAACATATACAACAAAACTTTTTAAAAATGAAAAAGAACAATGAATTTTTCTTCTTTCAACCTACTTATGTATGCCAAACTTCAAACACAAAGCTCAAACTTTTAACCAATTAGCAATTCCGATAAACTCACAAATTACCCAACACCGGACCTTGACTTTCAAATGTTAACTATTGATCCAAATAGTGAAATCCACACAAAAAAATTCCCAAATTATAAATTTCCAAACGCTACCTCCCTTATCCCTCAAGAACAGGAACAGCTACAATCAGAAGAAAAGAAGAAGAAAAAACCCTACTTTTTAGTCAGCTATACAAGCGCATATACATATGCATACAAAGAAACCCTACCCAATTAAAGAAAACCTCTGAAACAGATTCCTGAGCTCAGAATCGCATCGGACACCAGGCCCCTGTTCACCAAAAGAAACCAAAGAACCAAAAATTCAAAACAGAGAATCAGAGAATCAGTAAACGAATAAGAAGATCGAAAGAACCCCTCGATGAAAAGCCAATACAAGAAATTCAAGGAGTAAAGAAAAGGGCGATTTTCAAAACCCTAACCCTATCAGATTTTGGATCGCCGAGGACAGAGCGGAAAAGCTAGAGACGTGTTTCTCTCTTTTTGTGCTCGACGCTCCCTTGCTATTTAATAATTTTCTCTTTCTATTAAGAAACCGACGTGGCCGTTTTTCATTGGCTTCTGGTCTTACCTTTTATTGGAATAATTTTCCTCTTTTGTCCCTTTTGTAAAGCGTTAATAACCGCCTTGCAAGGTTGGGAATGCTGGTGAGGTTAGGTGTAGTGGTCGGTTAATCACAATGCTAATGTTGGGATTTTCTCTAACTTTAAAGTCAAAAACAATAAATATCCTTTTTTTATATCAATCCCAATCCAATTCCTACTATAAAAATAATTGAAAGGAGCTCACAATATGCTTTTTTAATTCAAAATATCTCGTTGAATTGCCTATTTTTAATTAGTAGATTATTGCAGTATATTTTTAATGTGCAATTATGACCAATCACATATTCATAACTTGTATCGAACTACAGAACTCTAACAAAATATTGTATTTATCAAATTTAGTTTCAATATATAGGTTTGTAGGAGAAAAAGCTTAACAAATCTTAATTGGTTACTTGTCTCTTACTCCTATTTAACCCATCTAGCATTTTCAAAATCTCTATTTCTATATGCCCCTAAAATCTTGTCACTTTGCATATGTAGTGAGGTAAATGTCAAATTGATAAGACAAACGAAAACTGAAATATAAATGGCAGCTATATATATGCTTTTCATGCATCCTTGTATACTTAGCCATGGCCTACTTTGACAAGCTATGAATCTCATATGACTAGTGACACATCAACCACAAGGTAGTAATAATGGTATCCATGGAACTCAAAATGCAAGCAAAGATTTGCCTTTGAAATGTATTTAATCAAACTCAGGTTTGCAATTAAACCTGTCACTAAAAGACCCTCTTTTCTTCCTTCCTTTGCGTTTGTCTCAAATCTTCTATCTTTTCGTATACTTTCATGCCTAGTCTTTGTAATTCCAAAGCCTTCGCCAACGAGAATTGATTGAGTTGGTAAAGTTTGAGTCCTGCTACCGACAATTCTTTTTGGTTGATAATTTATAAAAACTCAACAAACAAAAAATGCTAAGATCCCATTTATAAGTCCTCAAAAAGGTATATTAGTATGACATGGCCATTGATAGAGTGAAAGGAAGTTAAAGGTGCGACCATAAAAGAAAAGCAACAAATTGATCATGATCAATCAATTTAGTGCTTCTGTTGGACCATTGCGTTGCTTGATGAATATTGGAAATTGATGGCTTCACCAAAGGTAGTTTTTATTAGTATGTTCTACAAGATTTATCAAGAGAAACAGCAATTTGGTTATACACGCATAGAACCTAATGAGAACTATATTAGCACTAGCAAGACAGGTAATGGAACCTTAATTATAAAGTGTTTCGAATGTGATATTAAAAACACATTTCAATTCTAGTGCCTCAGCCAGGACTGGATTTATTGTGTCAAACAAATCCTATCGGCCAAAATCTTAATGTCCTCCTGGTCGATGTTTTTGATGAACTTGGACTAGATCTGTTGTGTCATACAAATCACATCGGAAGGGAAATAGTGGTAGGGATGTATTGCAAATTAAGCAAAGAGATTAAAAAGATAAAACACCAAGAATAAATAGCTTCATTTATTGGAAAATATATTAATTAGTTACACGCACACATCCTCCTTTTGATCAGTTGATTAGACACATTTAGTGCAAGTAAAAGGCCAACAAGGACAAGAGTGAAGCTCCCACCAGAGATCCAACGACGGGCATGTTTGCAATGGAGCCACTAGGTGTTGGAGCAGATGCGGCGGCGGTGGTAGCTGAGGGGGAAGGAGCCTCCACGGGGGCACCAACCTTTAGGCTTCCGGCAGCCATAGCTGCGGACATGCAGACTGCAACCATGAGGACGGCCAAGGCAATCTTCTTCATCTCCATTTTTGTGGGTGTGGTTGATATTGAGAAATAAGCCTTGAATATGGAAATGTCAGAGTTGTAGTTTGAACGTCCTGAGGAAAATAGGGTGGCCATGGAGGGTATATATAGCTCTCTAGCTATGGAGCGTTTTTGGTATTTTTGGAAAATAGATGATCTGTTTGGGTCTAAATTGTTTATGGTTTGGAAGATTTTTGTGGCTTTTTTTTTGGAGTTGGTTGGTTTGTTGTGAATTTACGAGGGAAGGGTTCTTAGGTTACGTGTATGGTTTTGCATGAACGGCGGCTACTTAAGGGTACAACAAAGTACTAACAATGTCAAGATTTACAAGATGATAAAGACATATAACAAGGACGCTGAGTGTGTCAAAAGATTAGATTAGGCTTGTTTTTTGCATTTTTACATGTATAAAAATGGAAGGGAACATCTAAAGACCTTGTTAGAGTTATTACTACCCCCAATGGTTTAAACTTACATTTATAAACAAATGATTAGATGAGTAATGATCAAGTGACGTTTTCGAACAAAAGCATAATAGAATAGGGACTTCTCTTGTGGCAAATATTATTTACTCTCACTTTCACATCACAATAAGAGTTCAACTCTAGCCCATAAACGGCTTTTAGCTCAAATGATGAAAAGCATTTATCTATGCACCCGATGTACTGTGTTTGATTCTCCCTCCCCAAATATCACTTATATATCAAAAGAAGGTTTTTTATTTATTTATTGCAAAACGTCCTTGAGGTTAACAAAAAGGCTGCAATCTAATAGTTTCGTTAACTTCAAGGACGTTTTGAGATAATAAAAAAATCAAAAGAATTTAGGCCCCATTTGGGATTGTTTTTTTTGTCCAAAAACCTGCTTTACTTCAAAGTTAAGCAGTTTAAGGTGTTTGGTAAAAATAAAAAAATCCTGATTATTTTAAAAGTAATGGCCAGTGGCCTTTTGACAACAGCTTTTAAAAGCAAGTTTTGTGTTGTTTTTCAAAACTGCTTTCAAAATAAGTAGAGATGAACCTTTAATGAATTTTTTTAATTCCCAAAATATAATCATTCATTTCAAAGTTAAGCAGTTTAAAGTGTTTGGTAAAAATAAAAAAATCCTGATTATTTTAAAAGTAGTGGCCAGTGGCCTTTTGACAGCAGCTTTTAAAAGCAAGTTTTGTGTTGTTTTTCAAAACTGCTTTCAAAATAAGTAGAGATGAACCTTTAATGAATTTTTTTAATTCCCAAAATATAATCATTCATTTCAAAGTTAAGCAGTTTAAAGTGTTTGGTAAAAATAAAAAAATCCTGATTATTTTAAAAGTAATGGCCAGTGGCCTTTTGACTGCAGCTTTTAAAAGCAAGTTTTGTGTTGTTTTTCAAAACTGCTTTCAAAATAAGTAGAGATGAACCTTTAATGAATTTTTTAATTCCCAAAATATAATCATTCATTTTAAAAAATGACACCACCTCCACTTTCACATCCAACTCCACCACTTGCCCCACCACATTCACTACCTCCTCATCCTCCGCCACCACTACCACAACCGCCACCTCCACCGCCTCCAACACCACAACCGCCACCGCCTCCACCACCACAACCGCCTCCACCACCACAACCGCCACCGCCTCAACCACCTCCACCATCACCTCCTCCACCTCCATCTCCACCTCCACCTCCACCACCACCTCCTCCTCCTCCACCAAAACCTCCACATCCATCACCTCCTCCACAACCAACACCACAACCACCATGTTGCCACTACCACCACCACCACCACCACCTCCACAACCGCCATCCCACCCACCACAACTACCACAACCACCAATTCCACTCCATCACTATCACTACCACCTCCACTACATCACTATCACTACCATCATATGATTAGTACATAACACTTTTAACATCATGTCTATTTTAGTCATTATTCACATTTACAACAATTTTATATTAAAATTTACCAAACGATTTTGACACTACTTTTTATACTAACAGCACTTTAAAAATATTATTTACCAAACACGGAGCTCCTTTACTTTATAGCTAATTAATTTTAAAGCACAGCAGAAACAACTCTTTTTAAAAGTGACAGTAATTCCAAATTGGGCCTTAAACGCTCGACTTCCTCTTTCTGCAAATAAGGCCGGAACATCGTGTAGTTTTTCCTGAATTTTTCTTATACAACTTTAGTCCACGCATGAGCTCAACAGAGCATCCAACTCCAGCCCATTTTTCCAACGCTAGCCCAACCCATATTAGAAACCCAGTTCCGACCATATTTGTGTCAATGAAAATTATTGTTGTTATTGCTTGAGGGTGTTATTTTCATTTCATCTATTAATTAAACGTAGAAGACAAGATTTTTGTATGAAGTGCAAATAAGTAAAAACATTTTCGTTTGGTAAAGCATCAAATTTGAACTACAATTGTGCGTGGCACTGGCAACGTGCAAGGCAACGAAACCTTTTCTCCTTTCCTTTCAAAACACAACTTTTGAACTCAACGGTCTAGATATGGCTGCTTTTACGGAAGAGAAGACAAGCCGACCAAGAGAGCCGTTGTGTTGCGGGGACCACATAAAGCAACACAAGGCTGGCATTATATCATATCACCTTCTTATTGTAGGGGCCACAAGACGTAACGGGAGAGTAACGTTTCCATCCTCGTACGGAATTCATATTCCAATTTGAAAATTTTAAGTTTTAATTACGAAAAATTAAAATTGAAATTGAAATTGAAATTGAAATTTTAAGTCCTATAAATACCATGTTTCCCAGTCTCTCACCTTCCTCACTCTTCAATCCACCACACACTCTCTCATCACACTGCACTCTCTTTTTCTTTTGGTCGAATAATCTGTTTCCTCTGTCTAGAAATGGCGCAATTTAGCGACTGCAAAGCTATGTTCTTGATGGTAATAGCCATGGTGCTTGTCTCAGTTACAGCTCAGGATACTGCGCCGGCTCCATCACCAGCATTGGACGCTGGAGCCGGAACTCTGGTGACAATTTCCAGCCTATACATATACTCTCCGGTGCTCTTCTCTCTCATTGCGCTGCTTAGGCGTTAGGGAGACTTAGACTGAGACTACTATATAATTATTATGGTATTTTTTGTATTCTTTTCTGCATGTATTTGTTTTTCCTTAATCTTCCTAATCATTGGTTATGGATGTTATATTGCCTCACTATAAAATTTAACACAGTACTTCAGTGTGAGTTTTTGTCATTTTTAGCCTTTATTATTGCATTTCTAACGCCCATGGATTCCATAGCCTCAAAGATGCAAGCAACTAAACAAGGCTAAATGCTAGTCATTGAGTTTGATTAACTACTTAAAAACAACATCCTACTTCATTTCTGAGAGTCAAGGCAACGGCCGTGTCGGGATGAGGATTTTTCAGCAAAATCACAATTAAAACAACATAAAGTAGCCTGTTGTAACTTGCAAATCTGAAATACCTACTTACGGAAGTTCATAAAACTTGGTCATACCAAATAATAAGTTATCATCCTTTGAGCAAAGAAACAAAATGCTCAGGTAGAAAAGCTTGCTAAAATTAGTGCTAAAATGAATCATCCTACGGTATTGACACTGCCATCATTCTCAATCATATGAGATATCCCTAACCTCGCTAATTAAACAACTGGGGTTACAAGAGATGATTCCATTAGAGAATGTCCATCTGAAATCATCACTTTTTTGGGCAATTATGTCAATAGTGATGTGTATACGAATGGCAATTCCAAACCTGTTTGGGAAGATTAAGGTTTAAGGCTCTGTTTTGAGTTTCTGAATAGGCCTAAGTTTTGACTTCCAAACTTTTGACATTGTTGAGTGTAGAAAGCTGGGCCCTAAAGATGCATTCATACTTCAAAAGACCAAAACATAAACCAAGATAACAAATTGTTCAGACAATTCATAACAATCAGTGATTCATGTTATTGAACACAAAAAAGGAAGATCTCTCTGTTCTCAATAATTCGAAACATCTCGAATGTAATTCTCAAAATCGAAGCCAGAAACAATAACTGGCAGCATTGCCATTCCCAATTAATGGCATTATTCATCAATAAATTGATATGAAACACTACAGAATTCATCATCAATGAGATATATCACTACAACAACAAAATTGGAACTCAAATTTCCAAACGTTTATCTCTCTTCCTCAACACCAATGCCTATTTCCGCACGGTCACCTAAGCTTAAATCAACTATCCAATTATCCAAGTGTAACCCATTTCTCCAATCAACTACTATATACTAACAAGAATGAAATATCACCAAAACAGATACAAATTTTAGCTCTTACCCATCCATCTATTCGCTCTTGGGGTTTTCAGACTCTCCACCACCTGCCCGACCGGCCTCGAGCTTCTTCTTGTTCTTCTCGATCGCCTCAGCGACTTCACCGGGCATGTACTTCTCGTCATGCTTCGCCAAAACCTCCGTGGCGGCGAAATAGCACTCGCCGCTCCTCGCCTTCTCCGATACACTCTTCGTTGAAATCTCCCGTCGAATTTCATCCGTAAAAGGCTTGACGAAGCCCTCGACCACAACCGAGTGACCCTCCCGAAACAAATCGGGCAAGGAGCCCTTGTATCGGACCAATATATCGGTCATCAAATCGGTGACGACGAACTCCATCTCGGGCGACGAGGCGGGCTGGAGCACGCTGCCTTCGAGGACCAGACCGCCGACCCTGAACTTGCTCTTGCTAGGGTTTGCTGAGTATTTCTCTAGAGCATCGGTTGGGGTCACGTAGAAGACGAGCTGGTCTTGGAAGCTATTGAGGACGATGACAATGAAGCCCGCGATGCAGCTGAAGGTTAGTGCATAGGTCCAAAGGCGTCGGGTTTGGAGCTGGCGAGCCCGGCCCGCGATGTCGACGGGTTTGGGCCGGATCGGGCCGCGGCGAGAGGTGGAGAGGAAGCGGAGAGTGAACGGGAGAAGAAAATTTGTTGAACGTTGGAGGTGGGGATCGAAGAGTGGGGAGAAGTTCAACGGTGGAGATTTGATGAAGGGACGGGGGTGGATGGGGGTTGTGATGCGAAGGAGGTGGGATTTGAGGCGGAGGGCGATGCGATTGGCCATTGGGTTTAAGGGGTGTTTTTTTTCTCGGGAAAGTGATGGAAAATAGGGGTGAAAGTGGGGGGTTTGGAGAGGTAGTAGCAGCCCTCTCTCTGAAGAGAAGCTTCGAGTTATTCGGCTACGGCAGAGTTGACGAGGGTTTTTCAGAAGGATATGAAGGGAATTTGGAAAATGTTAATTCTTTTACGTTGGTTTTTTATTTTTTATTTTTCAGAATTATAAACAAACAAACAAAAAGAAAGAAAAAAAAACAGCATATGTTCCACGTTGTGAATATATCCTATACCAGGATCAAGGCATATCAAGGCCTCTTTGAGGACTTACAGAGAAGGTTTTAGTTCTTTTTTTTTATTTTTACAAATCATCTACCAAGAGAATTATTGACAGCATGACTCGAACTTAGGCTTGGATAGCGAACTGAACAATTGTTACTGACTTAACCGACCCTTGTTGGCTTCCATATTGTGATATTTTGAATGATCCACATTAACTCTAAATGTTGATTAAAAAAAATTAACCTTAAATTTAAATTAGAAACTTTATTGAATTTCAACTTAGTTTGGATTTATGTTGGGGGTATTTGAAGGTGAATTTCAATATAATTTCAACTTTATTGAAAATCGTTTGGATTTATGTTGGCAGTATTTGATGGATGATATGTTTCAATTTATCGGTGATCTTATGTTTTTAATGTGTTTTTTTTCTTTTTCGTCGGAATCAAGTTTCATTGATAGAAAGGCAATGCCAATTACAAGATCGTGGAACTCATAAAAATGAGTCCAAACAAATGCAACAGTAAAAGCCCACTAGAAATAAAACTCAAATAGGTATAAAGCCAGAGCCCAAAATTGACAAAAAGTCAGAGTACAAAACTAGCATAAAGCTAGAGCAATCAAAAGCAAAAACACCACCAAACACCAAAGTATCGCTGCTGCTGCTTCCATGAAGATCGAGATATCGCCATCAGGACTAGTGATGAGTGAAAGAACTGAAAACACACAAAACAAATACAAAAACTACAAATCTGAAAATCCCTCGCAATACATAAACCAACCATCAAAGACTCAATAACTACTACAAAAATGAAATCACTAAAGCACCAAGAGGGAACCAACAACCAATCCAAGAACAAACCTGGGAAAACACTTCCCAAAGCCAAAGAAACCAACATCCTAAGTAAGGAAGGAGGTGGTAACAACCCAAGAATGGAAGGAGGTGGTGCACGCACCCGAGCAAGAGCTCTACACATCTTCCAAAGGAGACACGAAAAATCATGTTTGGAATTAGTCGTTGTAGCCCATGGGGGTCGATAGATCCAAAAGGGAGATAGAGTTCTTGAAGAAGTCATATAAGAAGGGAGGAATTTAAAGAGAGTTGGGAAATTAAAAATAAAAAGAAAGAAAGATAAAAGTAATGGAATGAAGAGGAAGATGGAAGATGGAAATTGGAGATTGAAAGGGGTATCAGGAGGGAGGGAAGGAGGGGTAGTGACCACCTCCCCCCTTGCTGCGTTGAAAGATTGAGGGTTTGATAGAGAGGGTGCGGCTTAATGTCTTACTTGTGTCAAATTTTGCACTTTTTTGATGAATTAGGGGTAAAACCCCAAGAAATACAGAGTAATTAACTAGATCCAAATTGTAGCTCCATTGAGCAATACAATCAGTAAACACATGTATCAAACTTTCCCATAAACTCCCAACATATTATAGCGTGAAACCAAAGACGCCATAGGATGTGAACCATGAGTATAGAATTCTACATCAACTTAACAAATTACGAATACCCCATATTTGAGCCTCAAATATTTGCGCCTCAAATATCAGACCTTTGCACAAATTAGCAGCAAACCCATAAGTCCAATCAATCCCCAAAGAAATCAAGTATAACTCCCCCTAACCAATGCACCCATAAGCACTTTTTATGCCCAAATTTTGCACTTTTTAACCCTAACTCATTCGCAACTTCTTTTTGAGCCAACCCATTCTTGTTCATAATAATAATTCATGCTTAAGGTTTCTGCCACCTAATTGTTGTTGATAATAATAACTCATGCTTATTTGTAATTTCAGTTTAAAGAACTATATAAGGTAGTTAAGTCCCACCAACCTTAACATTCAACAAAGTTCTAGGAAACATTTCCATGATCATACTGTTGACTATTGACTCAAGGTTGCACCCACGTGCAAAGTTGTTGTCGACTACTTAAATTGGTAGTTGGTTGATTGGCAAACAAATTGCGATGAGAATGCATTAATTGGCCAACTGCTTGTGGGAGACAAAGCCATGCAAATATGGTGGGTTGTTTTGACTTCATAGCTGGCCTCATAACTGAAGTAGCTGGCCTTCACCCGTTGACTTCTCTATAAAAGGAGAAGCATGGCTGTTGCGTCTACCCAAGTGCAAGTAGTCACACGTAGTAATAATCTTGGAAGTCCAAGTATCGTATCCTCAAGGAGCAGGTAGGCAAATATCTGCACACAAAGAAATAATTAAACGTACCACAATAAAAGTGACAAGCAAAATGGAAAAGTAATTTGATTTGATTGTAGTGGAAACTGAGTTTAAAAATGAAATATTAATAATGGAATTGCTAAGGCATCAAGGTTCAATTCTTTAAACAAAATATGTTTCATGCTCTTTAATCCAAATTATAACTCGATTAAAATCATCATTGAGAAACTTTAACCAAAAGATAAAGAAATTAAAACCAATTTAATTTTTCAATGTAATCTTTTATTAATGATTGTTCAGAAAATGAAGTTGCTTAATATCTACTCTTTTAATTTAAAAGCATGTCAAGTCAGTTCTTAACATTGAGAAAAATATAATTGAACTCATGAAAAGATAATAGCACTTAACATCAATCAAAATAAAAGGATATGAAAATATTGAACAACCAAAAATAAAAGAATTTAGCAATTCATACCGTATATTGGATTAAAGAACAATTCACAAACTTACTCAAAGAACATTCCCTTTAGCCTTAGTTAGAGTTCTAGCAACTCATTACAAAGGAAAACATAAACTAAATGGATAAAGAAATCTGTCATAGGGGCGCCCTTGCCAAATAAGTTGATAGGTGATTTATAGTAGTCAATGAGGTGAGTGGGAAGTTAATACATTCGTGGTGGGTGATGAAGGGTTTAATTGAGGGATTAATTGGATTAAACATGTGTTGATGGTGGAGAGTTAGTGGAAAAGAAATAACGGTGAGGTAAGTGGCCGTTAAATGGCTATGAATGACATGAAATAGGCTCTTTAGCTTCAACGGTTTTGTCTTCTCTTCTCCCTCTTTACTTCTCTTTATAATCATAATAATCCCTCAATCAATTCTTCAATAAAATCCGCCAGCAATTCTCTTCACACATAGCTTGAACTTGGACAAATGTATGTCTTCATCTTTTGGCTTTCCAACTTCCTACAGAAGATAAATTCACCTAATAAGTTCACCACATTAATATAGAAAATTCATAAATCTGGTTGGTGAGAATAAAATGTAACAACAAGTGAAATTATATTTATTAAGCCAAAATTATATCATAAAGTCTCCAAAATAATATTAAAAAGATGTAATTTGAGACTCTCATAAATGGCAGCAGCTGAAAGTGGGAGAAGAGGGAGATAAAAATAGCAACAAGCTATCCGGCAGAGAGAAGAAAATTCTCTCCAGTTGTCTTTGCTTTATATTTTCAGTTTTCTCTTCCTATTGTGAGTGTGTGAGCTTGGGCTATTTGGGTATTTGGGAAATTGAGTGATAAACACTATTGTATGTTGTCATTGATTATAGTGGAATACTCCGTCGTCTTCAAACTGGATGTAGGCATTGCCAAACCAGTATAAATCTTGGTGTTCTTGTTGGTGTTGTTTTGTTCTTTTTTATCTCTTACCAATTGTTATTTAATTTTCACTCAAAGTTGGTTGACGCTTCAACACAACAAGTGGTATCAGAGCTCCAATTTTCTACTAGGGTTTTGTATGAGTGAAAAATTTGCTGGAGCTACAGTGGCGTGAATAGTGTTGTGCTACAGTTCATGAATAGTGTCGGTGCTACAGTCCCTTGAACAATGAACTGCTACAATATTGTGAACAGTAGCTGTGTTATAGTACCGTGAATAGTGCCAAGTGGATTTGATGGCTAGAGATAAAGACGAATCTGTGAAGGAGAAGGAGTCGGCATCATCTTCGTCGGCACCTAATAGACGTACAATTGATACTACAAGGTTAGAGGTTGATAAATTTAATGGCTCTAATAATTTTGGTATGTGGCCATGTGAAGTTATGGATGTATTGTATTAACAAGAGCTGGATATGGTTCTGGAGGATAAACCCGAAGATATTGATGATAAGCAATGGACGCGAATTAATCTTCATGCTTGTGGTGCTATTCGATCGTTCCTTGATAAGGAGTTGAAATACCCGTATATGAAGGAAACTCCTACTAAGGAGTTATGGAAGAAATTAGAGGAGAAGTATATGACCAAGAACATAGAAAATCGGCTCTTCTTGAAGAAACGACTTTTTCGATTTCAGTATCGTCCAGGTATTTCTATGCACAAGCACCTCAATGATTATAATAAAATACTTATTGATTTAGCAAACCTTGATATGATAATTCTTGACGAGGATAAGACACTATGTTTGTTAAATTCATTGCCTAATTATTATGATCATTTGACAACTACTTTGTTGTATGGAAAATTCGAGGTGAAACTTGATGAAGTGTTTGAGCATTGGTGAATCGTAAGTGTCGTAAGAAGGAACAGAAGACTCACAATTCACAAACCGAGGCATTCGTTGCAAGGGGTCGAATAGAGGAAAGAAAAATTGGGAAGCGGGGAAAATCTCGTTGAAAGTCACGAGGGAAGTTTCCTGCTAAAGATGAATGTGCCTTTTGTCACCAAAAGGGTCATTGGAAGAAAGAGTGCCCCAAATTGAAGAACAAAGAGAATGAGAAAGCGAGTTCTAAAGCAAATATTGTAAAATCTGGAGATGATGATTTCGAGTTTGCTTTAGCTAGTTCATCTGTTGATGGTCACTCCAAGGAGTGGATTTTGGATTTAGGTTACACCTATCATATGTGTCCCATTCGGGAATGGTTTTCTAGCTTCGAGGAGCTAGATGGTGGAGTTGTTTTGATGGGCAATAATAATGCCTGCAAAACACAAGGGATATGCAAAATCTATTTGAAGATGCATGATGGAGCAATCAGAGAATTGAGTGATGCTCGGTGTGTACCGGATATGAAAAAGAATCTCATTTCATTGGGTGCTTTGGAATCCAAGGGTCTCAAAATCACCATGGTGGGTAGAGTTCTTAAAGCTGTGTACGGGGCACTAGTGGTGATGAAAGATACGAGACAAAATAACTTGTATTTCTTGCAGGGGAGTACAGTTATTGGTGGAGCAGTTGTCACCGAAGCTATTGACGTAGATAGCACAGACACCACAAGGTTATGGCATATGCATTTTAGGCATGCTAGTGAAAAAGCGTTGCAAGGATTGGTGAAGCAAGACTTATTGAAAGGTGCGAAGGCATGCAAATTGGAATTCTGTGAACACTGTGTGCTGGGTAAGCAAATTAGAGCAAAATTTGGCATTGCTATTCACCACACTAAAGGCATTCTATATTATGTTTATACTGATGTTTGGGGACCTTCCAAGAATGCATCTTGGGGAGGCAACCATTATTTTGTCCCCTTTGTTAATGGCTTTTCTAGAAGAATATATGTGTACACCATGAAGCGTAAAGATGAAGTCTTAAAGATATTCTTAAAGTGGAAAAAGATGATTGAAAAGTAAAGCGGTCGAAAGATCAAGACTCTGATATCAGACAATGGTGGTGAATATAAGTATGATCCTTTCTTGAAAGTTTGTCAAGATGAAGGTATTGTGAGGCACTTCACGGTTAGGGAGACACCGCAACAGAATGGGGTGGCGGAGCGCATGAATCGTAATTTGCTTAAGAAAGTTCGGTGTATGTTGTCTAATGATGGTTTAGGCAAGGCGTTTTAGGCTGAGGTGATTGCTTATGCAAGTCATCTCATTAATCAGTTGCATGCTGCTACGAATGAAGGTAAAATGCCCATGGAGGTATGGTTTGGCAAACCTTGTACTGATTACAGGTATTTACACATATTTGATTATCTTACTTACTATCATGTCAGGAAAAGCAAGTTGGATCCAAGAGCAAAGAAAGTTCTATTTATGGGATTTAGCACTGGTGTGAAAGGATACCGACTCTGGTGTCCAGATGAGAAGAAATTTGTTGTAAGCAGAGATGTGACTTTTGATAAAGCTGCTATGGTAAATCAGAACAAGCATGAAGGTGAAACTAAAGCGACCAAAACCATGAGTAGTTCAAAGCAAGTGGAGTTACTGAAGACTCTAGTTGTTCCAGTAAGGTCTGATGTTACAGACACTAGTCCTATAGATGATTCTAATGATGAGGACGAGGATCATAAAGAGGAGGCATCTACCCAAGAGCCTCCATAACAACAAGATTTTATTGCAACCAGAAGATCAAGAAGGGAAATTCGAAAGCCTACTCGGTTTACTGATATTGTGGCATATGCACTTCCCGTTATTGAAGATGATATTCCATCCGCCTACAAAGAAGCTGTCAGAAGTTCAGAGAGCATGGAGTTGAAGAAATTTATGGATGAGGAGATGAAATCTCTTCATAAAAAATGAGACTTGGAAGCTGGTTCAGTTACTAAAGGGGAAGAAAGCAATTGGTTGCAAATGGGTTTAAGCCAAGAAGATAGAATCTTTGGGAAAAGAAAATGTAAGATTCAAAGCCAGATTGGTAGCTAAAGGCTATGCTCAGAATGAGGGCATTGACTACAATGATGTATTTTCTCCTGTAGTAAAACATTCCTCTATTCATATTTTGTTGGCTTTGGTTGTACAATTTGACCTTGAGTTGGCTCAACTTGATGTCAAGACTGTGTTCTTACATGGTGATTTGGGGGAAGAGTTTTATATGTCTCAGCCGAAAGGTTTTAAGGTTGATGGCAAGGAAAATTGAGTTTGCAAATTGCAAAAATCATTGTATGGTTTGAAGCAGTCTCCAAGATAGTGGTACAAGCGATTTGATCGATTTATGATCGGCAAAATTACACAATAAGTCACTATGACCATTGTGTATACTTTCGCAAGCTACAAGATGGAACCTTCATTTATCTGCTTTTATATGTTGATGATATGCTTATAGAATGTAAAAGCAAAGTGGAGATTGAAAGGTTGAAGACTCAATTGAGTAATGAATTTGAGATGAAGGACTTGGGAGAAGCTTGGAAGATAGGTATGTAAATTGAAAGAGCTAGAGCAAAGGGCAAGATTAGTATGTGTCAGAAGCAGTATTTGAAGAAGGTACTACAACGTTTCGGGATGAATGAAAATTCAAAACCGGTTAGTACACCTCTTGCTGCTCATTTCAAACTTAGTGCTTCTATGTCTCCTAAAATTGGTGAAGAGAGTCATTACATGGCTCAAATTCAATATGCAAGTGCTGTTAGTAGTTTGACGTATGCTATGGTGTGTACAAGGATTGATATTTCACAAGCTGTTAGTATTGTCAGTAAATATATGCATAATCCATGAAAAGGGCATTGGCAAGATGTGAAATGGATTCTACGGTATATTTTGGGTACTATGGATGTTGGTGTATTGTTTTAGCAGGATAAAGTTACTGGTCAATGTGTTGTTGGATATGTGGATTCTGATTACGCAGGTGATTTGGACAAGCGTAGGTCCACTATAGGTTTTGTATTCACTATTGTTGGAGGTCCAGTGAGTTGGAGGTCGATTTTACAATCTACAGTTGCTTTGTCGACTACTGAGGCAGAATACATGGCAGTAACAGAAGCTATTAAGGAAGCCATCTGGCTTCAAGGGTTGCTTGATGACTTAGGGATTCAACATGACCATGTGGATGTTCATTACGACAGTCAGAATGCTATTTATTTAGCAAAGAATCAAGTTCATCATGCACGTACGAAAACACATTGACGTGAGATTCCATTTTGTTCGTGAGATTATTGACGAGGGAGATATTCTTCTTCAGAAGATTGGGGCTGCCGACAATCCTGCGGATATGTTAACAAAGTTCGTTGCTCAAGTTTAAGCATTGCTTAGACTTGATTGACATTTGTAAAATTTGTTGATTGCCCCATAGGGGATTAGGAGATGACCATTGGAGTATTACTACGATGATTTGGTGCAATTTTGAGTCAAGGTGGAGATTGTTGACTACTGACTCAAGATTGCACCCACGTGCAAAGTTGATGTCGGCTACTTAAATTGGTAGTTGGTTGATTGACAAACAAATTGCAATGGGAATGTATTGATTGGCCAGCTGCTTGTGGGAGACAAAGCCATGCAAATATGGTGGGTTGTTTTGACTTCATAGCTGGCCTCATAACTGAAGTAGTTGGCCTTCACCCGTTGGCTTCTCTATAAAAGGAGAAGCATGACAGCATCTGAAAGTGGGAGAAGAGGGAGAGAAAAATAGCAAGAAGCTATCCGGCAAAGGGTAGAAAATTCTCTCAAGTTGTCTTTGCTTTGTATTTTTAGTTTTCTCTTCCTATTGTGAGTGTGTGAGCTTGGGCTATTTGGGTCTTTGAGAAATTAAGTGATAAACACTATTGTATGTTATCATTGATTATAGTGGAATACTCCGTCGTCTTCAAACTGAATGTAGGCATTGCTGAACCAGTATAAATTTTGGTGTTGTTTTGTTCTTTTTTATCTCTTGCCAATTTGTTGTTTATTTTTCACTCACAATTGGTTGATGCTTCCGCACAACACATACAGACAACATCATGCACACAAGATGCTACAAAATGGATGTTTCTTTACTCTCTATCCTTTTGCAAATAGAGCTTGATGCAAGAGGCTAACCATGAGAGAAATGGAGAGAAGCGCAAGAAGTTGCTATTATAATCAATAGTTTGTCTCCTTTTCCTAATAGAATAAATAGTGTCTACCGCTTTAATTTTTGACATCCATTCTCAATTTAATTTTCTCCAATGTCCCAAATTATTTCACATGTTCAAATAATCAATTAAACCCATATGGATTTTCCCCCTGCAACTTTATCAAATCATTACAATTTTATATTGACATAACAGAAAACAATAATTTGTAACCGATTTGAAAAGGATAATTTTCATGTGCAATGATCATACCCACAAGAAGAGAAGAATGATAAATAAATTCATTCTTTTTACGTGGATACATTTTGTTCACTGTCAAGGCTGTGTGGCAATATGCCCTGCAAAGATTTGAAGTCTCTTTTTAGCAATAAGCTAGCCGATGGATAACGATTGGATGCACGCACTTCATTAATTTTATGAATTTGCTCAGAAAGTTTGCTATTATAATACAAGTATTTGTATTATGTCCCAAATCTCAGTCTGGAAGTTTTGAAGGTTTGGGAAGGAAGACTGAGCTAGCTATTGTAAAGGAATATGTATACCTCTCTCTCTCTCTGCACTTAAACCATTGAGAAAGTAAGATACATTATTTAGTGCACTTTAATCTTTAATTTTTGTCATCTCATGTTCCTGTGATAATTTGACATATTGGTTGAAGATGCTCGTGATGAATTATATGCTTTGATTTGTCTAGTATTGTAGCATATACCAACCAAGCAATTGACTAGAACGACGTACAAAAACGCACCCTAATTATTTTTTCTATTTATTAACAAGATGCACCTTACTTTTAGGTGGCTAATAAGTTTGTATTATCTTCAACTTTTGAAGGTTTGGAAATGGATATTGAGCAAGCTATTGGTGCTTATGACCTAACCAACGATTAACTCGACTTAAATAAGCTTTCGTGCACGATTGCAAGCTCGTGCCACTCTCAACATAAACCATTGAGAAAGTATAAAACATTATTTGATCAAAATCTTTTGTCATACGTGACCTCATTTCTTTTCTTGCATCAACATGCCATGCTTGATCAGCCACAACCGGCTAGAAAAAAAAAAGTATTAGCAACACTATAATGATCCATTTGAACATACATGTAATATATATATATATATATATATTGAATACAAATAATAGTCTAAACTATAAAGATGGGGAAGTTTCTCACACACACTACTAATATGTTGTGGAGATTCAAATCTAAGACCACTGGTGTGTAAGTCAATACCCTTTTTCATTGAACTATATCTATATAAACGCATTTCATGTCAATGATATATTTAGAACTAAAACTAAGTACATTTCTTTAAACGTTATTTACTTCTCCTCTTTCTAGAGTTATACTCCGATGCCGAAACAATGTTGTTCTCATAAGGGAAATGAGTACAGAAAAATACAAGTATATAATCGTATATTCTTTATTTGCAATAAAGAAAATGAAGTTTTTGCATTGATAACTATTAAAATAGTCCTTATGAACTCCTTGCTTATCTCTAAAAAAAAAGAAAACGGATGAGGAATTAAAAAAAAAAAAAAAAAAAAAAAAAAGACAAACAAAAAATCAATCAAGAATGTATAATTTATAGGCATTGATTCGTGGCTTGAAGCCGTTCGCTATAGTAGCCTAAGCCTTGCCCCTAGATATACGAAGCACTTCCATTGAAGTACGGTTAAGATGATGATACAAGGTTAGGTATAGACTAAGACTGTAGAGAAAGAAACTCATTGTTCTCTTCTCTTACATTTTCTTTGGACCACCCTTACAAACATCTCTTTCTTCCACTATACAAAATTGAAAATTCCCTCTCTCTCCCTCTCTGTATATATATTTGGCTTTGAGTTCCCCGATAGCTTAAACCATTTCAGCTTCACTGTTTCATTTTACTCTCTAGCTACTCAGTCATATTCCGTCACACTCTTTTCAACGGTTCAGCCCCACGGATTTTGGAGCTTTTTGGTCTTTGAGTTTGGAGTCCTTGGTCAAGAAAAAGCCCTCCATGGATTCTCAGGTCTTGGTGGCTCTGGCTCTCTCACTTGTGGGTGGACTGAGTACTTCAATCGGTTAGTAAAAAGCTCATTCTTATTCATCGTCTGCTTCAACTACCCATTTCAGCAATTTCAAATTCAAATTATCCCATTTAGGAGGATTTTGTTGTTCTTGTTTCGTTTATCAAGTAATGCTTATCCAAATTTGCTTCTGGGTATTTCTGACTTTCGGGTTTTGGCTTCAAATTTGCTTTCTTTGTTTGACTTTTTGAGTTTTAGATAGAAGTCTGATATTGGTTAATTTGCTGGTGGGTTTTGTAAAATAGCTTCTACTAGTTTCAGTTCCCTATCCATCAAGTTGTTGCGAAATTGAGGTTTAATGGTGTAGAAGGCATTGTTGGGATGTGTTCCCGCTGTTTTCCAGGCCTGTTCTTTTGTATTAGTCATGGTGTGAAAAAGGCTTTTGATTTTTATGGAATTTCCTAATTTCTGATGTTCACCTCATTGCTCAGTAAATCAGTTTCTGTTCTAGAGTCTAATGAAAGTCTTGGAATGTGGTACAGGTGCACTTTTTGTAGTTCTCAATGAGGCTCCCAATTTGAAGATACTTGGGCTTTTACAGGTGCTCTGATTCATATCCTTAAATTCTGACATTTTATTTGTTCCCTGGTTCGGTCATTTTCTTAAAGAATTAGCTCATGTTGACTCAATTGCTTACATTTCTTCTCTCTGCAGGGTTTTGCTGCAGGTTTGATGCTAAGCATATCATTCCTAGATTTGGCTCACAATGCTATAAATTCGATTGGCTTTTTAAAAGCCAACCTATGGGTAAGCCATATACTTTAGTGTTTGTCTGATTCAAATCCATCACCTCTCCAACATGAGTTGCTCATGTTTTCTTTTAGAATTATATGTAAAATTTATCGGTGGTGCAGTTTTTTGGCGGTGTCATATTCTTTGGTATCATTGCCAATTTTATTCCAGAACCAACACTTGCTCCTAGTTCAGATGTGAGAGGTAAAAAGGTAGTAATCAACTTTTCTCCTTCTAATTGAGCAATTTGTGGATGCTTTTGCATATGATTTGGCATTATACTTCTACCCCGAATAGAAGGCATGTTTGACCGTGCGACAATATACATAACAACAGAAAAGTGGGGATGAAGGGGGCAAGGACACTTTGAAGAAGCATCGCCGCCAAGTTCTATACAGTGGGATAATTACAGCAATAGGTATACTACTTGTTTGAGATGGTTTAAACTACCTTCCATACTGTTCTTTGAATTAGATGACAAAATTAATTTGATGTTACATGTGGAATTGGAAACTTTAGTTAGTTAATGGTTGCATGTTGAGATTTAAAAGTTTGTTTTGATAATTAAGTCAAGTTAGTCAATCTATAAATTAGAAAAACCATTTTTATGTCTTTGTGTTTTGGATATGTCTTTTGTTGTTGTTTTTTTTTGGGCCTACAAGAAGAATAAAATCTACCCCTTCTCACAACCCAAGGCCTAGGGGTGTTTGCATCTTGTGCATCTTGTGCATGTTTTGAATGTTTCTAATAGCTTACAGCAATACTTTTTATTTTCTTCCCCTTTTGAGAAATAAAGTCTGAGAAAATGTTTGAGTAATATGGTTAATATCTATAGTTGATCCCCTCTAATGTGGAATATCATGGCCATTGAGTTGCAGGCATAAGTTTACACAACTTTCCAGAAGGAATGGCCGTGTTCCTTGGATCAATGAAGGTACCTCTATCTTAAGTTTTTATTGTTCTTAGAATAATGAGTTAATTCTAAGTTTGATTAGATAGATGAACTCATGCTTATATTGATTTGAATTTCATAATATGTGTTTGATTTAAAACAAAACAAAATTATTTTTAAATTATGTCTATAAAAAATGTCTTCTTGAATGGTCAGACTTCCTTTGATTCTTGATGTGCAATACTTATGCAGTTTTCTTTGCCTAATTATTTTAAGATATGTTGTCGATATAATATAGTATGGGGGTAGTGCGACCATTTAATTAACTTACGCTCACCAACTATACCAACTATTTAGTATTTTTCATGACCAAATTAGATGTATTATTATTTAAGATACAATCTAGATGGTGAATTTTTTATTTTTTCTTCCTTGCAATGCATTTTTAGCTCTATTCCTACTTTCAACCAATTAACATGGTCATGGAAGCTCTGTATATGTTGCTATCTTCTTGAAGCACAGCTTCCAATGCTGTGGTTCCTAGTATGGGAACTCATTAGTAAAGCTACTGTATTTTTCCTATCTAAAACAATTTTAGATGCTTACAGATCCTGGCTTATATGTTTTTTTCTTCTTCTTAATTTCATAGATGTATATGCTAGTTGAAATTGCTAAATATGTGTGCCATTTCATGCATTCTTGTATGTTTTCTTTTCTTTTAGTGTATATTGGTTTTGATTTGCATAGTCCTTTCATCATACGGGATTGGTGGTTGTAGATGCAGCAAGAATGGTTTTCGATATCTGTTTGAGGACTATAATTGCTGCTGATGCTAAATATCATATACCATTCTTGCTTGTTCCCTAATTGTTTGCAGGGTCTTCGTGTTGGTGTCAACTTGGCCTTGGCCATTGCCTTACACAACATTCCAGAGGTATGTATATTCTCTAATACTTGTACTATGTGGTATTGCTCTAATTGCTCGCACTCTGCCATGGATTAAAGTAGCACATAATTGTTTGTACCTTCCAGGGTCCACCACTTACAATAATAACAATGGCTGGACTGGTAATTTTGGTAATATAATGGACAGGTTCCTTTGCTGTTAAGGATTCAATTTTTGGAATATATGGAACTAATGTTGATTGCAAGAATAGCGCACATCTCAACAAAGAGAAATTGAAAGAAAAAGGATGGAAAATTGCATTCAACATTTCAAAAATTCAAAAACCTGTCAAATGATTTCCGAGTTTCTAAATGAAAGATTCAATATTTTTAAAAATTGTATTTTGTGTATTGGTGATGAATATCATCAACCTCTAATTGTTCATAAACTTCATGACTAGAGTGTGATGAGCAAAATTGTAGACTATTAAATAGATAGAGGATTGCTTTAAATTTTGAGTTTGGACTTATATTAATTAATGTAGAACTCCTATTGTTATTATAGTGACAACTTTCTCTTTTCTAGGGCGTTGCTGTTGCACTTCCTGTTTACTTTGCAACACAGAGGTGAGAATTTTTGGAGTCAGCTTTTTGAAGTACTTATGAACTGTGACAAACAATGGGTTTACCTTTTTTTCTTTTTCTTTTTTTCACTTTTTAAAAAAAATATCTCAAGTGTCTTTAATTAACCCCGAAGGCAGACAAAAATATTTTAAAAAGGTAGTGGTCTTTGGTAAAATGATGTCGACTCTGAGGGTTTTGGTAATTTTATTAGAAGTGGTGGAGGTATTTGTAGTTTTGGCAGTAGTATGAAATTGTTATTGAATGTGGTAATGGAAAGGACAGTTCTGTTATGGTTGTACACGGGCAGTGTTATGATGGTTTAAGGAACGATGTTGGTGTTGGAGGATTTCATGTTTGTGGCTGTGCGCTACTCCTGGTAGTGGGTTCCGGTGGAGCAATATAGATACTAGTGGTAGTGTCTGGTGGTTTGGTAACTAGCTATTCTTCAGGATGTCAATGCCATAGTTTGGAAATTGGATGCAGATTGTCTCACTTCAGAAGCAGAGGGTTTCAATCAATTTTTATTTATTTATGAATAATAGACATGAGTTCTAAGCTTCGTTCACTTTGGAGCAATAATTACTTCATAAGTTTTTGTTAGCCTTTATATCGAGACAATTTTATGAATCTCTCTCAAACGAACACTGAATCATTCTTGTGAGAAATTATTAAATGGTGGGTTTTCTACATGTCCCAGCAAATGGCAGGCATTCAAATTGGCAACACTTTCTGGTTTTGCTGAGCCTTTGGGTGTCATAATTGTAGGTATGTCAACTGTGAAAAGAAACTTAGATATCTTTCTTTTACCAATCTTAATGGGAAGGGTGGATTTAGAATAGGTGCTTGAGTCCTGAATTTCTTCAAGGCCACTTGTTCATGGTTTTCACTTCTGCTACAGCCTATCTATTTCCAAGCAGCTTGAGTCCTGATATTCTTGAAGGCTTGCTGGGAGCAGGTTTGCTAATTAATGATAATTTAATATATCAACTGAATAAGAATTATTTTTTATGAAAATTTTGGTTCCCATGCATTTTTGTTGTGACACAGTTGGTGGAGTAATGGCTTTTCTAACCCTGCATGAGATGCTTCCCTTGGCATTTGATTATGCGGGGCAGAAGCAAGCTGTCAAGGCCGTGTTTTTGGGAATGGCCTTCATGTCTGCAAGGTAATACTATGTTTTAAATATACTGAAGAAAAATATCCGAGAATGTCGCTGTTACAAATGCAAATAGGGTACTTGTTGCTAAAGGAGTTTTTCAGAGTAATTAGCTGTTTAATTTCTTTTTATCAATATCTAGAAAAGGGTTAGAGCATCTGAGGGTGTGATATTTGTAGCTGTACATAAGTGTTGCTTATCCTCCTTACAGATTACTCTCTCTTTGCCTGTTTTGCAGCCTCTACTTTCTCGAAATCAGCCTACCTCAGGAGATGAGCTTGTAGCTGTGTTCCATCATTCCGTGGATCTTACCCCCACAGTAATTTACATTGTTGTACAAGTCTACTGACTTTAGACCGCCTTCAATAGATCATTTCATTTCCGCCTGAAGACCTGTAGTGATTTTAATCGGCCTTTAATAGCTCATCTGGTTTCGGCGCAAAGGAGAAAGTAATACCCAAGGATGGTAGTTCATACTCGATATAAAAGAGATGTACTTATTTTTCCTTTTAATAAATATGTAAAATGAATAGTGTACGGAACTTGATTTCTTTACTGAACACTCTTTCATTTTCCTGTATTTGCATATGAGTATTGCAGATAACAGTACCACCCAGACATGTGATGAACAGAGTGTATTTTACTTCCATATAAGTTGAGTCGTGGATTAGATTTTTCATGGATGATCCGGAATGAAAACTGGTTAGAACAATCCATGGCTGGAAATTGTATTATCCATATAAGTTATGGAGTTGAAAACTGTTTCAATATCCAATAAGGTGATATAGGTATGAATTATAAGGTTCACTTGCCTCCGTAAAGTATTAGCGAAATTTGCTAGCTTGAAATGGTAATTGCAAATTTGCAACCATTATGAATCCTGTGAAATCTTATGGGTAGACAAATTTGTGCCCTGGAATGGTAAAAGAGACAACTGAATCACACCATGATCCCAAACATGCATTAAGAATATGCTCCTTCAACAACAGATAGATTCCAAGACCAGTAGGTGGAACATTTTGTTCCTCCTAGTGCAAGACTCTTGGAATATCTTGATATTTTATGTAATTATTTCTCTGCAATATCAGATTCTAATATTTTACTGCTTTTGGCTTGGCATATACATCACAATCCCACGTAGGTGTAGCAACCAAAGGAAACGACATGTGAACATAAAAAAGGCATGAAAAAGGAAAAGAAAAGACAAGAAAAGAAAGGCAGCATATATACATATGATGGCTCGTGTATGGATCATGCTGTTATGACATGCAATGCAATGCACAACACTTCAAGTTTAATCTATATAAAAAGTTTAGGAGATTCCAGAGACCTAGCTATCATAGTTTTGATTTTCTGTTGAGTGGTCAATTGAAATGAAGGTCTTCTCCTCTTCAATCTCATCATGACTTCCCATCTAGGAAATCATTGTAATTTCTTGGAAATGAGCAATTTCAGAAACAAAAAAATCATCTGGACAACATGGGATTAAAGCTGTCTAGTCCTATCTTCTTATGCAAAAAGCATTTGATGAGATTTGTGAAATTGAAGATAAAAGGGGGGTAAATAAATAGTGAGAAATTCCACTCAGAGAAAAAAGAGAAGAAAAGACTAAAGGTGTTTTATTAGGTAAAGTAGAGTGAGGAAGGAACCAAAATCAGGTTTTTTGACAAAAGCTTTTATTGGTAAGAGAATTTCTTAGAACTAACCAAAGCTTATTATGGGATTTAGGCTGTCTAGTCCTGTCTTCCCTTCTGATGCAAAAAGTTAGCTTTTGATTGGATTTGTGAAATTGAAGAGAAAAAGGGATATGGCTACAGCGACTGAGATTAGTATAGGAACTATATTATATGCACACACTCAAAGCAAAAGATATGAAAAGACTTAAAGGCCTTTCATCACTCGAAGGATCAAGTAAAGTTAACAAAATCAAGTTTTTTTGTCCAAAGCTTTAAAATTGCACGATTTACTTGATGAATATGATTATAAATAAATTAAAGTATTTGAAGGACAGAGAATTTAGCACACCAAGAACACTGGGATGTAATTGAAGCACAGGTAATTGGACATGATATAAAAAAAAATATATATATATATCACAATTAATCACTACAAGAAAAATCGCTAATTGTCATTGACATTAGTTGTACATGATGAGGTGGGGTAAAAGGCGCTAGTATTGGCTAGTATGGCTAATAGCTGACACCGACAATTAATGGTGTCCGTGTGCTATTAGACGCTAATAGTGCCTTTAGCCACCTTATCTTGTACGACTAATTTCAGTGATTAATGAGGTTTTTTTCTTGTAGTATTCTTCCCAACATTATCAACAACCCCATCACTAACTTTGTATCTTCTTCTGAATCAACTACATCTTTAATTTCATCCCATTATATATATACAGTGCAATTGTACATGATCTACATCCTACAGAGAAACCTTAGGCTTAACATTATGGGATTTTTGTATGTTTTTATGGTCAGGACAAATAAGCAATAGGAATGCTTCTGAGTTCATAGGTCCTTTATTGATGTTGAATAGTAAGTTATCTGTTCAATTACACCAGAAATACTATTGCTATAGCTACCTATAGGATATCACCTAGGCTTAGCTCTCTAGTGCTAAATCCAAATTCTACACAATGCATCTGTTTTGTGCATTGTAAAAAAAGAGTTTAAATCATGAATTAAAAGTTATAAAAGAAGAATAAAAAACACATTCTGGTGCGAGTTTGCAGACCTTTGCTGCTGTCACTGATCTTTTTCATTACTTGGACGCTTTCCATTTTCTATCTGCACCAGCATACTTTATTTTAATTTAGTACCTAGGTTATAGCAGTTTGCCATATTTGCGTCTAAATTATTGCTTCCACAGAAAAAGTAAGAAAAAAAGAAACATTATATAAGTTCATTATATTGCACATCTTCAATGTGAAACATGTACTCTTTTTCTCTCCATTTAATGATGATATACTTTCTTTATTTCTTTCAAGATTTTGTCCATATTCCCCTACATTGAGACCCCATCCCCCATGTTATGTTATATAATATACATTCATAAAAGAGAGGGGGAAAAACACCAAGTTTGCAATATAAAACCAATTTAGCATAGGGTAATCGATGAGTAAGCTTATGGCATGTATTATATATATATATATATAGAGAGAGAGAGAGAGAGAGAGAGAGAGAGAGTATATTCAAATGGATTATTACTTTTGCTCTTTAATTTTGTTTTACAAGCGATTCGGGGAGGGGGTTTATACAATTATTAGATGGGTGTTTGAGAATTTCGAACCTCTGTCCATATGAGTGGAAGTGGAAAAGATCAACCAACACAGCGCAGGTGAAAAAAATCAACCAACAGGGCGCTATATCCACAGGCTTTACTCTTTCTGCTTTAAGTTGCTTTTTTATATTTATTTTTATAAAGGACTTGAGTGATAAATGTGTCAAGAATTAGTTTTCGCCCATCTCTATTTTCCTTATGCATGGGGATCCCTTTACCAAATAAATTATTTCCATGCTAATTCAAAATAATCATAACCATATATATATATATATATAGAAATGCCTCCTCCAAAACAAAAATATATTAGTTTATCCATCCCCAAAAGATATTTAAGGACATCTTGTAATAAATTACTATTAAACCAATTAGGTTTGATCCTAGCCAATCGATGTCTCTCGAGACAAGAATTCGGTAGTAAGCACACTGAGACGTAATAGGGAGACAAAGTTGTCCCCTTTTTGCTGGCCATGCCAAAAGAAGGACTCAACAATAGAGAGAACAAATTTATACCTTCATGGAGATTCTTGGCTCTGCTACCATATACCATTCTCTTCGTTTTTCTTTTCATTTTTTAATGCGACATGAGGTATCTTAACCTCATTAATCCTTAATTAGGGTAAATGAAGTATTGTAGCGGCTATAACACATTTTCCAGCTCTTCTGGGGGATTCAGAAATAGAAATTCTAAGCAACCAGGGGATTTCACACACAGCAGTTGAGATTCTCCTTTAAGTGTCGGCCTAAAGCCAAAAATGAGAAAAGGGAAAGAAAAAAGAACAAAAGAAAAGTAAGTTTATATATATAATTACATATATACATATATATATGTATAGAGAGTACGTACTAGCATAATCATACATAGATGCATGGTGGGGACTAGCATCTACTTTCTATGCAATTATTCTTTTTCTGTACCTATTTTTTAATTAAGAGTTTGGTAGTGTAGCATTCATGCAAGTGATTCTAAAACCAGTTGGTTGTGGGTGGACGACGAGTTTATATTTTAATATATTCGTCAATTATAATATAAGTGCGTTTATAACATCATATAATAGTGTTACGGTTACACCAAATAATTTGCTTAGTGTAAACGTATTGAGGTAAAAGCAAGAGGACAATTTATAGGAACCTGCTGTATAAAACCAAGACATGGGAATATGGGATGAAGAAGAGATGACGTCTCAGTGGGGTTTTTTAGTGGTGCAGGCAAATGGTGATTAGTGCTAGCTGTGAGTCAGTGACTGAACACTGGCTGGGATATATAACAAGGAGAACAAGAAAAGAATCACAGAGCTGGACAGATTATTAAAGAATAAATTAACTGATTAATTAATTAGGGTACGTAGGGTATTTTACGTTCTGTTAAATCTATCTAGAGAGGGTACAATGAAACCATAATAACTGTCAAAGACTGGCAAAAACTTACCTCATCATCATAAAAGTGAAAGACAGAGCCTGAGAGCTCATGACCTGGGAAGGGAAGGGAAGGGAAGGGAGAAGGAGACATAAAATGTGAAGCTGAATTGGGACACACGCTGAACCCACAAAACAGTACATACTCTGTATATATTTGCAGCTTGATATGACATTTCAAGACTTCTTTCTCTTCTTTTCTCTTTTGACTGCACTACAGACACAAATATTACTCTCTCTCTCTCTCATAAAGCTGCCAACAAGATCCATTATATCCCTTCCAACCTCTGTAGTCTGTGGGATATATAGTGAAAATAATAAATAAGGTTACAGAAATAAGAACTAGCTACTACTGTAGTGTAGTGTGTTATTAATTGCACCTCCACCGCTCTCTCTCTCTCTCTCTCTCTCTCTCTCTCTGTCTCTCTCTTGCGTGAACCTAATCAATATTTGATTTGAAGTTGAATTTAATCTTATTAATGTAAATATAAACACAGAAGGACCGTAAGCACTCATAAGAAAAAAAAGTATTAATTCCTCCGAAAAATCGTATTATGGGAAAATCAGGAAATGGGATCTGTCATTTTTGGTGAGGGTTACATGGGCTTCACATTTCTCTTGATATTATGCTTAGGTAAACGTCGAAAACATCTACTTTTCAATTCTCCAAATAAGGAGGCCAAAGGAACAATGCATGAACTTTTCAATTCAATCCCATGAACTTATTTTTATTGCCTTTTCCAATTAATAACGACAACATATATATGTCACTGTCTACCAACGCACTGTTTTGACTAATGTGCATGTCCTTTAGAAACTTTGAAGAATACACGCTTGGCTTGGGGTCTTCCGATTTGCGTGTGCATAAATGATATGACTTGAGCTGCTTAAGCCATTTGCCCTTTCGTTGTTTTTGATGTTTCCAACAACTAGCAAGCAAGTCCTATGTATCCACCAAAGGGTTTTTACTCTTAATTTGCAATTAAGAGATGAGAAAAAGTGGGATATGCTTGTTGGAAAAAGGAGCGCATATTGTACCATTCATTTTCCTCATGGCCATGTATAGCTAAGATATGCACTTTCACCCAAAAAAACTGATGAAAAGAAATTGCCAGTGAGCATGAGAGAGAGCGAGAGAGAGAGAAATTACAGGAACTTGGTTTATCATTGATGTATGAGGAGCCATTGCTAATTAAGGAAGCTTCTTAAAAAATAAGGAAAAAGAAGAAGAAGCAAGAACAGAAGAATGAAGAAAAGAGCATAGCTAGGCTAGCTAGCTTCCGGTCATAAGCAACTTCTTAGCTGTGCCCATCCATAAAACGTTATTCTAAACCAAGGTCACTAATAGCTCACTGGGAAGAGTAATTTTCTTCAATTTCAGAGGCTGCATCATCATCTTCTTCAAAACAGTCAATGCCATAAGCTGCATGGCCATGTCCAAATGCCTTGATATGATCTTTGAGAGACCTCTTGTGCTTGAAATCAGAGCCACAAGTGCAATACCAAAGCTTGCCGCAATTCTTCTCATGGGTTCTCCAATCACCTCTCACTGCAAAAGCCTTGCCACATTTTCTACACATGAAAGGCTTGATCCCATGCTTTCTCTTGTAATGAGTTTGGAGGGTTCTGAAGTCTTTGAGAGGCTTTGACCTTGGATGGTCAATGTTGTTTCTGCAACCTGGTGCACAGCAATAACAAGGCAGTCTAAGCATGGCTGTTGGCTGTGTTCCTCTTAGAGACTCTGGCCCTTTTCTGTATTGAGATCCATGCCCCCACATATGCATCTACACATATAATTTTATTAATTAATCAAGCAAAAACCCACCTCAAGCTGATGAGGGAAGAAAATGAAAATGTAAAGGAACTAGCTTTCACCGAATAAAAAGTTGGACTTGTTGTGCATAAGATTCGGATGTCTTTGAAATGTTGATTCTTTTTAGAATTGTTTGAATATTGCTAGCATTTGTAATTTGTTCTTTTTCTAAAACAAACATGGGTGATGGGTCAAGGTGTTTTCAAATGAAAAGATAAAGCAAACGTTATATATAGCACTGTTGATGATACTGAGAAATTTATTGGTTCCTCGGGGTTTGATGAGGAAGATCATCTGATTCTGAAGGCAGGAAGAACTTGGGTTTGAGACAGCTGCCAAGCCAATGTGAGAGACACAAACTTCAAGGAGCAAAAAGCACAATTGCTGTGTAGTTCAATCACATAAAGAGGGGTGCTAGAGCTGATCATAATTATTCTCAGAGACTCAGTCTTGGACCAGGTAGCTAGCTGAGATTTATTCTTACTTTTTAAATCCCAAAACCCACAAATCATGCAAAAAGATGAGGAAAAAAAAAAGAGTGGCTGGTGTGGTGATCATAATATAAAGTGCCATTCTGGACATACAAAACAAAAGCAAGTAAAAATGATTTAAAGTTGCAAGAAGAAGAAAAGGGAAACCCTAAGGACCCATATAGTACCACTGCTCTTTCCTCTCACCAGTCCACAGCATATATATATATATATAATATAATAATAATAATAAAAGTTAAAGACTAAAATCAAGCTAAAAAAGAAGTGTACAAAACAAAGATAGATAGGAATGGATTTTCTCTTTCTCAGTAAAATCAAGAGAATATGATCAGAAGCAGAAAGTGATGGGAGCTAGGAAAACAAAAAGTGAATACTTTTTTCTTTATAAAAATAAATAAATATTTCACACAACTTTTTTTTTCCTTTTTTTCCTCCCTCTAGCTAAGAAATCATGGAACAATTCAGACATATATGAAAGCTAAAATATGTTGTACCTGCATGTTATTGTATCTGTTGAACGTCTTGAAGCAAAGAGGGCATGAGAACTGGGTTGGACCAATTAAAATCTGAGCAGGAGTAGGGATCCAATACTGGCCCTTGTTGAGTCTGTTTGGGGCATTCCCAGCTGAAGCGACAGTCACATCTACTACTTCTTTATCTGATGAGATTTCTGGGGAAGAGAGCCTAGAGATCAAATCAGCTGATAGGGTCCTGCTTGGAAGCCCTAAATGTAAAGCCACAGTAACAGTTTCATCATCTTCATCTTGATCAACAATATCAGCAGAGCTGGAGACGACCAAGCTTTGGTGATCAGCTGAGTCTTTTCTACTGTTGTTGTTGTTGTTTTGATGATCAGCTTCCATGGCATTGAAAGAGGGTTCTTGCAAGTCTTCATGGGGATGATGGTGTCTTGAAGGGCTTAGGCTGAGGAGGGGAAGGGCTTCTCTTAGAGGAGGTGAGGGAGGTGATGATGATGAAGAAGAAGACTGGTGGTGATTAATGAAAAAGCTTTGATTGTGCACCATCAAGTTATTTGATGAGCAGAAATTGTTGTAGTCTCTATAATTAGGAGGAGCATGGAAATTATATGGATTAATAGAAGAAGGTGTGGAGGGCGAGGAGATGTGGTGGAGAGGGTTGAGATTGAACCAGCCATTATTGAAGTAATTAGAGTAGGGATCTGTCATGGTGGTGATGATGAGAGGTGGGAGAAGCTAGAGAATGGATGGCTTGCTAGGATTGGGTTAATATACGCACAGAAGGGGGAGAGAGAGAGAGAGAGAGGACCAAAAGTTAATAATAAGGTGGAGGAGAGTGGAGACCTATTGAACAAAATCACCAACTCAAAAAGAAGCAGCGGTGTAGTGTGAGGGTGAAGGGTTAAAGAAATGTCAAAAATCAAGGTTGATAAAGCAAACCCAACTGAGTAAAAGGAGAGACAAGAAATCACTTGTGAGGTGTGACCAAACAGTGACAAAATATGCTAAAGAAGAGAGAGAGAGAGAGAGGAGATAATCTTGGGACTTGAAAGGACAAGTCACTTATTGAACACTGTGTACAAACGGTATACAATTATGTGTACATACTAGCTCCATGGAAAGGAAGAAAATAAAATTTACCTCACCAACCCAAAGACTCAACTTTGATGATGAACAAGCATAACAAAGGCAAAAGACAAAGTTGGTAATAAAGATTGTGGAGCTTGTCCCCCATCAATCTATTCCTCCTGCTCCCATTGAATATTGATGAGAGGAGAGAGAGAGAGAGAGAGATTGTACAATATACAGCCATCCATGCATACAGCAGAACAGAAGCTAGCTAGCTATAAGCTAAGGGTTGTAATTTTGAGATAGATGTTATGTAAGTATACATATACCATATTATTTTAAAAAATTAATTGAATTTTCTGTGGTTTTGGGAGACATACATAGTTAGATCCAAACCCAGCATTTGCTTTGGTGGGCGGGCCATGGTCGGCTAAATTGGCTCCCCACGAGCACAGAGAGATATTGTCCTCATCTCATCTCATTACTGTTTGCTTGCTTGTTTACATGCACAACAACAACGTCACTGTTTCTTCTCTCTCTCACATCTCTCTCGACTGATCTGCTAAAACAGCAGCTGAAGCCCATTTGGCTTTATTTATTTTTTCTTCTAATTAATACGTATAATGGTATGGGCCAACCAACTGTCTACGTATTGAGCCGACACTGGTAGTACTAGTAGTATTGACCTTTGACAAAAATTTCGTGTCGTGAAATTACATTTGTTTACTAAAAACTTTTATGACAAAAATGTAGAGATATTTAGTGATCAATAACGCTACGGGCACCAACTTGTTTACCAACTCTTGGATACCAACACATGTGGCACATGACATGGCAACCCATGTCATCTGCCACCTCATCTATTTTAATTACATAATTTATTATATAAATAAAAGAATTTAATTATTTTTTATATTTAACTATTTTTGTTTTCGGTGAGAAATTCTTTTATTTATATAATAAATTATGTAATTAAAATAGATGAGATGACAGATGACATGGGTTGCCATGTCATGTGCCACATGTGTTGGTATCCAAAAGTTGGTAAACAAGTTGGTGCCCGTAGCGTTATTGTTTAGTGATATACCCATTCTTAGCACTAATATTATAAATAAACCCCACACAATTGAATTTCTATAAACATACCAAAAAAAAACCCTAAAAATGACAACTGGCCTTATTAAATTTAATATTGAGTATTAACTTACTTTGATGTCCAGTTGATTGTTTTGGATATTTTTATGAGATTTTGGTTGGACTTGTTTTAAGAAATTAATGACAGTTTTGTAATTTATAAAAAGTTAAAAGTTTTTTTGTTATGTTGTAAATGGGCTTTGGGTGTGTTTCGAAAATCCATTTCATATGAAGTATTTTTATAATTTGAGCCTCTATATTGAGTATAATAGTGAATCTCCCAAAAATGTATATATGTCCCCATATCATCCTAAGCCTTGAAACATCTATGTCTAAGAGAAAATATATATATATATATATATATATATTTAAATTACAAAATCAAAAGGGCAGCTTAAGATTCTTGTCACATCCCTATTCATAAATTTACAATTGTTCTCGTAGAATGTTCAACCTCTCAGGATCTGGTATTCAAAGTAGAAATGTACAAATTGAAGGTGGTTCGAAAATGTATTGATGCGCTTCTAGTATATTTTGCTGGAGGAAAAGAAGATAAGGGAAGAAAAAACCTTTTTCCATTTTCGTGGCAATTACGCTATTAGATCGGTTTTGGGAAGAAGACACACTTGCGAAATGTTATTGGGACAAAGAACAAAAGAAAATAAATTCAGGAAAACAAGTTTGCTGCAAACTCTGAGCCGCATGGCATTGGCTACCCACATCACTCCAATTCGGTACCAAATTGCCAGTACTTTCTAGCCCATATACATTTCGTCGTACAATATTATAGAGACTTAGTGTGTGAATGAAAGTCACAGTTCAGTGCATGGGACCCTCTCAATAATAGAGAAGAGTGATGCTAATGCTATCAATTGTCGACCATGTGCGCACGTGAGTGACGGTAATCCGTTAATATCAATGATTGAAAATCGCCTATGTAGTGCGTGAACGATTGTTGCTAACAAAATTATACAAAAGAAATTAATCCTAATAATGTGGGTTGAGGAAATTGATTGATATCTGTCATCTGTGAGCATTAACATGTGGATAACTTTTTTTAATTTCCTTTACTTTTTAACGAATAAAACGTGGGGACAATCTGGATGATTGGGCATTCTTAGCAATTGGAGCCAGAAGAACAGTAGGTATGAATGAGCTTTTGTATTTTATGAAAAGCAAACGCCTTTTCTGCTAAGTACAAGTATATTATATTTGACCGAAAATACGAAGACGAGCCATTTTTGAACTTTCTACCTGGCAATGTAGGATGGCCCTATTAAAAAATGAATAATCAAATTAGGGCTCAGGTCAACGCAATTAAGAAATTGGACTTGGGGCAAACCTAAGTGAACAAGGTTGGCTCATGTCAAGCCCAATCCGGAAAACTTAGGGCCGACCTTGTTTTTTCTTATCTTCTCTCTTAAATCTTTCCTTTTTCATTATTACAATGTATGGATATTATTTTGTAGTAAAAAGAAAACGGATTAAAGAGTGGTAATGAAAATAATTTCATTAGAACTGGGTCGTGGGTATTAAGCCTGAACCAGATCATGAGCAAGGAAGTAAAATGGGGGTGAAAGCGAAACAATATCCCCATTTGACAGTGGATAAGATGAAGGAAAAGCAGCCCAATGAAACAAGACCATCATGAAGAAAAGCATGTACAATATCAAGGAAAAAGAATAATAAATGAATTAACAGACAGCCGGACAGAGTAACACGGGCCCTAGTTCCGGTGTCCAACCCCGAAGTGAAATCTCTTTGTATGCTTATCGTTAAATGCGTATTCGAGACGAAGAGGCCCCAATGGTGAGTCCAATCTGATGCCAAACCCGTAACCGTACCCGCTTCCAGGCTTCAGCCTAGCACCCGCAGGATCACCTGATCAAAAACAAAACATAACCACCTTTAAGAAAATTGCCTGTAAGCGAAAGGCAAAGCTAATGCGAGAAAAGTTTACATTTATGCATAGATAATCTCAGGACAAGATGGTTCTTCATGGTTCCAAGGATTCAAGAGTGAATAGTAAATTAAACTAAGGGAAACCTACCAGGAACAGTGGGGCCTGATCCAAGATCCGTGCCATAGTCAGCAAAAATAACTCCTCCAACTGGCCCTATCTGCAACAACAGGACATGACATGATGATGGATCAAGGAATCAATGTTTTCTTCAAGTATACAGAGAAGACAGTTTCCCACAATAACAATCAAACATGATATGCCCAGCACAGATGCTTGTAAAAACCCAGAAATGAAAAAGAAAAGAGAGCCCATTTTCACCACATACCACAGGAAAAGAAATTTCTCCAGAGCCAACTGTATAAGATCTACCTGAGCCCACAGCACCTTCTTCGTAACCTCTTACACTATTTGTTCCACCGATGGCAAATGCTTCATGTGGTGGGAAGTTACCAACCACATGGCCACCAGACAAACTAACAGTGCAAAGCATAACAAAGTCAAAACCAAATTAAAGCATCATTTGCTTAATTTCAAAAGAAATAAATTACAATAGCAAGTTGGGTAAAATTTTGGGTGAAACTATAAAACTCATAATGTTTTATAATATTCGACTGCTCCTACTCTTGACAAATACAAAATGGCCATACCTTAAAAGAAAGCGAGCAGGGCCAAGTTCTAGGTCTTTCCTGGCACGAGCATTTATTCTGTTGAAAACCAACCATTCAGGCAAAACAGGAAGTCCTTGTTCCATGTTGAATACCAGCTGCAGAGGGCCATAAATGAGTATCAAAGTACAGTGGAAGTTCAGAAAGAAAAAAAAAAAGTGAGTCATAATTTGTGAACACACAGTGATTGACTAACCATTGAAGACCCATGGTCACCAGAACCTGTGTAGACACTCTCAAGTTTAGCAAGTAGCATATCGTCATGGTTATTGCCACTAAAAGACAAAAATGGCAAACAAAGAGCAGAAGATTAGAATCATGGATCACAGCAAAACTTAAACTAAGATATGGAAACTAAACTGAAGTAGTTTGGTTTTTATTTGATTTCAGACTCGTGTACCTTGCAGTTAGGGGACTGCTGAAGAAATCCTTGATAATAGGATTTCCTCTCTCATCACGAGCACCAGCATGCTGGCAAAATAGTCCAGAATATGGGTAGTTAATATTACAAATAAAATACAACCAAGTCAACATAAATCTCATAACAAACCTTCCAAGTTCAAAACCACCACTGAATGTTAAAACTCATCCAAGAAACACACACAAAAAAAGAAAAGAAAAAAAAGCACAAGTACCTGAAATATAAGCCCGGCTGTTCCACTCAACTTTGGCCTTATGGGTCGGCTGAATTCAATACCAGCTGTGATGCGACCAATGGTCAAGTTGCTACCATCTTGTTGGTTACCATGGATAAGTGTTCCAGGGGTTCTTGAATTCTAACAGAAAAGAATTGGTCAAGCATCTCGCCATCAAGAATTTTCAAGTAGTGAATGGTAAAACAATAGTACTTTATACAATACAACATTAAAGTACCTGAACCATTATAGTCCTGGACGTCCGCATATCATCTCCCGCAATCCATGGATCTGAGTAGTTTATACGAAATATTGAGTCTATCTGGCCCCTCTCCAGAGAAACATGGAGCTTTTGGTTTCTTCCAAAGAGATTCCTATGAGAATATGCAAAGCTGCAAAGGCAAGAAAAAAATTTATGTCAAAAGTGTAATAATGAAATCATAAGAATCTAGTGCAACACTAGATGACATGCTGAGAGTGAACACTAACACTATTTGAACATAGACACATGTATATTTTTATGTATATGTAGAAATACATAATGCTTACAGAATCCAGATGGTCTGTCCCTTCATAAAATATTAATAATAGAAAGCATTTTCAATACATAACTTTTTATGTGCAGTAGATTACCTTCCAATGAGTCCTGAAAGAGGGCCGCTTGTAATTCTGAAATTAAAGAACAGAAGTTAACATTTTATACCACAAAATCTAAAACATAAACTCATATATTGACCACAAAAAAAGTCAATTTGTATGTTCCACTCATTTGACTTACCCACTTGATATACCACCACCAGCAGAAAAACCTCCACTTGGTCGCTCAACAACATTCATGGTGATATCAACCTTTCCAGCATCTACAATTTTGCAGTAGTTTTAGCAAGCAACGCATTCAATCACATGCATGAACTCCACACAAACATGTATAAATTATTAAAGATAAACAAAATAATAATAATCATTGAACACTAACAAGATGGAAAATATGTTTTCCAACAAAAATATTTGCAAAAAATATTCTTTACCACCTGCTGGCTGGGGTATAATGCTAACATCTTCCATAAGTCCCATAGTCAATACAGTCTCCACGTCTCTTTTTCCTTGAAGCATACTGTAGACCTACATAGGTATCATCCCAAGTAGCAACCCTTAAAAGTTGACATGTCACCACTAAATTTAGTGCATTTCTTGAAGGAAGAACCATATAAGCATAAATACTTGATGGCAAAATAAAAGCACAATGTTCCCAAAAACCCACTAAGATCATTATTATATAGAGAAGATACGTCCAGGAAAGTACCTGACCCTTCTTTGTAGTAAGTTGGCGAAGTATTGTTTCGGGCTTTGTCTTCCCTACAGTTGGTTCCCCACTAAGAAGAGCACAGAAGAATTAGCAAAGATATCATTTTCTTTTTCAAGAAAATTTGAACATTATCCATGCATGCAACATCTGTAAATGCGAACTCGATTAAACCAGGAACTTACGTCTTCCTGTCAAGGAACCGTATGGAGATATTATTGACCTCCGCTTCTGATACTTGTAACTTAAGAACACCCCCCGAGAGACTCTCAACAGCTGAAACCTATAATGTAATCAAGAAAAGAGCTGTCTACTATTATGAAAAATCTTGATAAAAAATAAAGCACAGTGAAGTCTTCACTGAACCAGTTCTACATTCTACAGCACTAGAAATATTAAGTTCATCTTTGTACATGCCGAAATTCAAAATAATTCCGAAAAACTTATAGAGAAGAAACCAACCATTGCAAAAAGGCCCCGATCCATGTACCAATCATTGATGGAAGATATAACTTCATTCAAACGCTTAAGATTAATAACTTTTCCTGCACAACTTGACACCAAAATCGAAAATCAATATAGGACTCTTTGATCACACTTAAGTGGCACACCAGAAAAAAGCAAATGATCTTTCGTGCAAAGAGCATGCATGAACAACCCTAAATATGTAAGAACGTTGAAGAAAAACCTACCATATCCGTCACAGAATGCATCCTTTATAAACTTCGCTGGAAGAACATTTGCCCCTTCACATACTAGCCCTTGGAATTCCTGATTTGGTTTTACCTAGCACCATTAAAAGATTATTAAACTATTAGTCATAGTTCCAAGCCAAATCAAATAGGAAACATGTTCTCACACATGTTCATGACATGAGTTTGCATCACCTGTGAAACCATAACACAAAACCATGATTGCTCGCTCTCTATTTCAAATTTATTTATTTTTAGGCCAAATCTCTCTATCTAATGTAAAGACAATGATAAGAGTTAAAAATGATCATGGGACAAAAATCAATACAATAAATGCATAAAAGTGATGAACTCAACACACAGATAAACAAGCGCCTTGATAATTTGCATGAGGTCATAAGGACATAAATGAAATTGAAAATGACAAATGAATACAAAAATAATACAAATAATAAACACTAAATGCTTTTGGTTCAATACAAGCATTAGTTTCAATTTCTTTAAGAAATTCTCCTACATTTATTAGGATTATAAACAGAAAAAAGCACAGAACGCAATTGAATTCGACAACAATGCATATGCTTGTACCTGAAAGATCAATCGGATACCGTCTCTCGTATCTACAGCGACTGGCATGCAAGAGCAGAAGTATCCACTATCGAAGATTCTCTGCACGTCCTCTTGGACCTCGCGCACAGTGAGCGCCGAGTTGGGTCGGCAAGCCTTGAGAGCCGCCAAGGCCTCCGCTTCCAGGTCCTTCCTCTCCAACTCTTCACCGTCCTTGTTCCTCACCAATACCTCGCTTATCAAAACCCTCTCCTCGTCGTGCCGACTCGATGAGTGGCCCTTCTGCTGCGACTGAGTCGACTCGTCCGGCCGAGTCAAAGACAACGACGCTGAACATAAAAGCGGCGACTTCCCTACAAACTGACTATGGTCTGCATTCCGATTTCGTGATTTGGACTCTGCCGAATCAGCGGACCGAGTCAGGGACAACGACGCGGAGCAAAGAATAGGCAGAGAGTGCGAGCGACTGTTTTGAGTTACTGCAGTGCACTGATTCAACTCGGTGGACAGAAAGGGGGGCCATTTTAATGGTGGAAATTGTGCGAAAGCTGAACGAGTCTTGAGCGAATCGATGAGTTGAGCAAACGAGTTTCTGGTTCTAGAAAACAGAAAGGGAAGGTCCAATTGCCGATTTTGCGGGGGCCGAGGGACTTTGACAGAAGGCGACGAAGTGAACCGAACCTCGTCATTCGGCGGCATTGTATTTGGTCTGAGAAATGAGAACGGAGAGAGTTGTTTGGGTGCAGAGACACTTGTGTGGAAATAGGAGGGCAGGGTTTTAGGGATGCAATTCAAGAAAGGAAAAACCCTAGAGCTTAGCTTGGACCACACTGAAAACAGGGAGGGGTTGGGGGAAGAAGACGGAGAAAAAAAGAGCTGAGGAAGACGGAGAATCTGTAAGGACTCGTATAGTTAACTTATTGGTTTCGGCTCGGGTGTGGCTCGTGGGCTTGGGCCGGGTTGTTGTTGTCGGCCTCAGTATTTAACACCAACTTATTATTTGGTAATTTTTGTGGATGCACAACCAAATATATTTACCTCTAAACGCTCAATTTCTAAGAACACTCCTAATTAAATGATACAAAATTATAATTTTTTTTAAAAAAAAGATAGTTAGGTTTCATTCAATTGTAAAGGTTACAGACTTGAGTGAACAAACTTGGCCTCATCAAAACCTTGCTTCATAAATCCCAGTGAGAAAAATCTGAGACGAAGAAAAAAGAGTGTCACATGCTCCATAAAGACTATAAACAAAACCAAAATAAAGTCAACTAGCAAAGACACATTGTCCTTGGAAGACCCTCTTCAAGCCAAGCGTCTGAAGACACACACTACCTAGAGCAAACTTAGCATGGCTACAATAAGACACAAACTGGGAACAAAGACAATAAGAAAATTCAACTTGATCATATGCCATACTGACATCAAGCTTCACCACAACCTTTGGCTCCTTTTTTCGTCATTGTTTGTTGACTGAATGCATGGGCTCAAAAGCAAGAGATTATCAGGAATGGACCGGACAGGAAAAAGGCGTTTTGAACACTAGAAATCATCTCAAGCGAAATGATCATCAAGAGGTTAACTAGAATCTTTGCACAAAAATGGGGTCTTGAGCTCTAAGGAATTGTCTTAGAGCATGGAATATGTAGGGGTTCCCAAGCCCCAGCGCATTCCATTCCATTTGTCTCGTTGAAATTGACGGGGTAACCCTGCTAACCTCGTCTTTGTATCAATCTCCAATTGAACAGTGTTCAGCTCCGACTGATGCGGATACCAATTGGGTTGCTCAAGCCTTAGCCTTCCACGATAGATGTTGACGCCCGCTTTGATTTGCGTTAACAGTTTGAGTTGCCCCACCAATTTCCTTCCCTTCCAGGCTCGCTTTTGGAAGAGAGAATGGGTTGATGCCCATAAATTATTAGAATTATGACAGCTTTTAACTCGAATAATTGAGGGAGAGAAAACACCACCATTATCAATTATATTCTTTCCTTTCTCAACATTCATTGGCGAGTTAATTGCCAATGAATCAGTCCCCAAGAACTGCTCCTAATTTAAATTTCCTTGAATGGCCTCATTGCTCCTAATATACTCCTCTTTTGATGGTCAGCCATAATGGAGCCATTAATGGTGCCCTGTCGTAACTGATCCCCTTCGTCTTCATCCTCTTCTCGAAGCTGAACTTCGCTGGCAAGGCCCAATTCGTATGAGCTTGGAGCTTTCATCACCCATCTCGACCGTAGTGATCTTGGTGGTTCCATCTCATGTTCATCTAACCATTCTTTGACCTCTGCTTTGAGCCATGAACCAAAGGGTTTGAAATCCCCATGGTTAACAATAGAATCCCGAATTGAGCACTGATTCAAGGCACGATCACAAAGGCCACACATATAACAATAGTTTGGAAGCTTTTCGTATTAAAATCGTGCAATGAAAATTTATTAAAATCTCAATTGAATACAACCCCTTTAATCAAAAGGAGGCGACTCCCAACCTTTGGGAAAGTAAAACGCAAACATCATTTCAGGGGTTGAGTAACATCAATAATAACCTTTATTATGAGAAAAATTCCCAGGCAAGTACCTCCTCTTCCAGAATCAATCTCAATAAATATCCCCAATGAGTTGCCCAGTACTCCTCTCCATATCTGCCAGAGGGACACCCTTAACTCTAATCCACAAAGGTTGTGTAGTGAGAGGAACTTGATGGGGGTCTTCAAAACCATCAGTTTCTCCCAGGATCAGAAGAGCATTCTCAAAATTCCAAGGACTACCTTTGAGCACACAATTTCTATCATTTTCTGACAGAAAGGAGAACAAAAACCGCCCTTGCTCCAACTGGCAGATCTCTACACAGGCTCTTGGTGACCAAAGCTTCTTCATGGTCCTCATAAAGAATTGTGCCTATAAAATTCTTCAGGCTGAGAAGCCTCCCAACTAAAAAGAGACATTGAGCTTGCCTATTGTTTCCAATAGGACGTCGCTCAAATACTATAGACCTGTTTTCATCCTCAGCGAGATTGAGTTGCGTGGTAAGTTTGTCCACAAACGCATCCATGGCAGCAAAGAATCAATCAAGAATCTTACCTAGCCAAGAGAATAAAGCCTCCCACAGTGACATGCGCACTCAACTACACTACCAAAAGAGTAATCTTGGACTCTTTCTCACACTCTGGAAACTCTCACGACTCTAGGCAAGAAGGAGAGACTGGATTGGATGCTCATATTTCACTTACTCTTTAAAGTTTTGGCTGACAAACATTTTCTCCATCGTTCGAGATGGAGTAAAACGTTTGTATCTTGTATTTATTTATACATTCTTTGCTATCAATAATATACTGATACTAAGCATTTCGATGTAACAAAGCTTAATTAATTTAAAATTTTAATTAGAACAAAGCTTAATTAATTTAAATTTTTAATTAGAACAAAGTTTACAGCATGAACAAGCATATCTCTCTGCACCCACCATTGTTATTAAATGATAATACTATATAATCTATGAATTACACAAAAACTAATGCGGTTTTGTGTACAACGGCTACATGACGTGTGTTGTCCCATTTGAGCTTGGTGGATATGGAATTTTGGATCTTTGACTCGATGATCACATGTCATTGTTGAAATCTCCAGCCTTCTCAATTGTCAGCATTGAAATCTCCAAAACCAAATCTTACTACTCTAATAATAATACACAACTATCCAAATTACAAAACTGAAAAAACAAAAAAACAAAAAGCAAGGCTTTCTTGTTAAATATATGACATGTTAAGAATTTAATATCATACAGTATACTTCATCATTTGGTAGTATAACAACGTAACATGTCATATCTCTTGATATAAGTACGTTCTCTTGCAAATTGATCAATGCCAAGTAATTTACTTCGTATTAAGAATTAACAAATGTTGATCGAATAGGACTCACTAAAAACCTAACACTACTCATCAATGGTTGAACTATGACAAATGTTCCCTAACTGCTTCTGGTTAATAAAATTTACTTCTTTTCGATAAGGAATATGAAATTCTGTGCTATTGTTGCTCCCCACTTCAGGCTCCCCTAATACGGTGTCGTTTTCAGGACTTCCATTCCGCACTACCAAAAGTCCCTCATAACCGTTGCAAAGCCCTCTCAGTCTAATATTCCTTTCAAACCGACCCACGCGCCCATTCCCCAACCGTTTAAAACCCACTCTCTCTCTCTCTCTCTCTCTCTCTCTCTGTGTGAACCTCCAAGAACTCCACATGTTCTCCCTCACAAACTTCAAGCTCTCTGCTTTTGCAAAGAAAAAGAAAAGCCCACTTCTTTTCACTCAACACCAATCGAATTCTCCACAGCCATGGCTCCAAGAAAGCTTCTTGTTTTATGGTTCGTCTTCATGAGCCTCTTCTTCTTCTTCACAGACCCGCCTTTTGCCTCCGCAGAAAACGTGAACTTTGATTTCCCCTCTTTCAATTTCCGAAACCTCACCTTCCTCGGCGATTCCCACATCCGAAACGGCGTGGTAGGCCTCACTCGTGAGCTCACCGTGCCGTCCTCAAGCGCCGGAACTGTAATCTACAACAACCCAATTAAGTTCTTCGACCCTGAAGCCAATATCACAGCTTCCTTCTCCACAAGGTTTTCTTTCTCCATCACCAATGTCAATCCGAGCTCGTATGGAGACGGCATGTCGTTTTTCCTCTCACCTAGTAACAGGATACTTGGCAGCCCAGGAGGTTATCTGGGTCTTGTTAATTCCTCCCAATTAACCAAGAACAAGTTCGTGGCCGTTGAATTTGATACCAGGCTCGATTTGCATTTCAACGACCCCAACGATAACCATGTTGGTTTGGACATTGAGAGCCTCACTTCAATAAAGACCGCAGATCCAATCTTGCAAGATGTTGAATTCAAAAGTGGGAATTCTATTACAGCTTGGGTTGATTACAAGAATGACCAAGAAAGGCTCAAAGTGTATTTGAGTTATTCGAGTTTCAAGCCCGGAAAACCGGCTTTGAGTGTGGATATTGACCTCTCTGATTATCTAAAGGAGGTTATGTATGTGGGTTTTTCGGCTTCGACTGAGGGGAGTACTGAGGTTCATCTGATTGAGAATTGGAGCTTTCATACATTTGGGTTTGTTCCTACAAGACCAAGATTGCAGCCTCACAATGTGTCTGATACTTATGTGGTGGTGAGTCCGACGATTCCGGTATCTGGTTCCACCAATAAACACCACAAGAGGCTTGGTTTAGGCCTTGGGATTGCCGGGCCGGCCTTCTTTTGTGTCGCTCTGGCGGTGTTTGGTTATGTTTCTGTGAGCAAATGGAAGAACATGAGAAGACAGAAAAGCTTCAAAGCAGAGGTTATAGCAGGGCCAAGAGAGTTTGGTTACAAAGAGCTCAAGTCAGCCACAGGAGGGTTTCATTCTAGTAGGATTATTGGTCATGGAGCATTTGGAACTGTGTACAAAGCCTTTTTTGTCTCTTCGGGGACTATTTCTGCAGTGAAAAGATCCAAGCATTCCCATGAAGGTAAAACTGAGTTCCTTTCTGAGTTGTCTATTATTGCTGGTTTGAGGCATAAGAATTTGGTTCAACTCCAAGGTTGGTGTGTTGAGAAGGGTGAATTGCTTCTTGTTTATGATTTCATGCCTAATGGGAGCCTTGAAAAGGTGCTTTACCAAGAATCTGGACAAGGTACCTTATTGGATTGGTACCATAGACTAAATGTTGCCGTTGGTTTGGCATCTGTTTTAACATATCTGCATCAAGAATGTGAACAGCAAGTCATTCACAGAGACATAAAGACTGGAAATGTGTTGCTCGATGGGAATTTTAATGCGAGGCTTGGTGATTTCGGACTGGCAAAACTCATGGATCATGATAAGAGCCCCGTTTCTACACTAACGGCTGGAACAATGGGATACCTTGCGCCTGAGTATCTTCAGTATGGGAAGGCAACTGAGAAGACTGATGTTTTTAGCTATGGTGTGGTCATCCTTGAAGTGGCTTGTGGGAGGAGACCAATAGAGAGAGAACCAGGCAGTCTCAAAATGGTGAATTTGGTGGATTGGGTTTGGGGACTGCACTCGGAAGGAAGGATTATCGAAGCAGCTGACAAGAGGTTGAATGGGGAGTTTGAAGTGGAAGAAATGAGGAAGCTGTTACTTGTGGGTTTAAGTTGTGCTAATCCAGATAGTGCAGAGAGGCCTACAATGAGGAGAGTTTTACAAATCCTGAGTAATGAGGCAGAACTTCTAGGCGTGCCAAGGGTGAAACCAAGTCTCAGTTTTTCTAGTGGATTGCCTTTGTCTATTGATGACATTGTTTCAGATTGTGAAGAATGCAGCAGCCCCACCAGCTCTATGTGTGAGATCATTATTAACTGAAATAGGTTTCATGGTTTATTAGGCAATATATGCAGATTGCATAGTTTATAGATAGATGAATTCTTTTGTTCTTTACTTTTTACCACTGCTTTTTTAATCCTGTAATTTGAAGATTAGAGACTGTAGAGTTCACTGGCCTGAGTTCAAAGCTATCTATTGAACTGTGTGGTCTCTGCTTTATCAGGACAAAAGAAGCTTGCTTGAATATTTCAAGTGTAATGACTCGTTCAAGTAACATCTCTTGTAATCGATTTTCTTTGTAGTGACAATGAAAGATATGTAACTGGTTTAAGAGTTGAATGTACACAGAAATGATTTCTATACTATTCAATCTTATTAGTTTTATGATTTTCTGTTTTTTTGGGTAGTGTGTTCTGTGACTTGCTTATAGCTCTGGGGGTACATCTCTTCACTTTGGTTTGACACTGGCATTAGTTGCAATAATTATTTGGATAAGACTACCTGAGAAACCCTGTCTTTGGATTACATTGCTTTCTTCCCCTCATTTTAGGTAGAACTTTCGGATAATGGCCTAAGAATCTGTGTAAAGCGACTTTCAAGAAAAGGGGAAACAAATTCTAACCCCTTTAACTCCTATCAATCCCTGTTTTAAAGTAAATTCAAACTGGTACAGAAGCATAGAAGTAAAAAGTTTGGATGAGTTCTTATGAGAATTCTAGTCTAAATCAGCACAATAATTAGAAACTGACAGAATCCTAATTCAAACCAAAGCAGAACACACTAAAGAGATATTGGTTCCTCCATATTGCCAAACTCTAGGTAGCAGGGCTTGTAGTAGCAATGTTGAATCAAAACTCTGCAATATTATACTTCTCCCATGGAATTGAATTGTGCCACCAAGCATGGAGCTCCACCTTATTTCACTGAATTATCATAATGAGCCTTTTTTGTGATCTCCCTCTCCGATCCTGGTTTCTGCTGGTGCTCTGATCTTTCCTTGCAAAACGTTACAGGCTTTTCATGTTCCCTTCACATAGAGGATAAGCCAGGAGTATGGCACTTTTAAGTCCTCCTTCACAATCCAGCAGATAGTTCTTGTCTCATTCTTCTACGCACTGTAGGTCATGAAAACCAAAAGGAAAATATGTGCCGATTTCAAGGCAGTCACAGTTTACAACATAAACAGAGGTTTTCTGTGGAACATTTCAATGTTGGTGCACAAAATGGATGACAATATCTGTACTACGTACTAGTAGAAACCAAAAGATTATTAGCAAAATGCATAGCCAATTGATGGACTGTGCTTCACTATGAAAAAATGTAAACAGACCTTATTTGAGCAAGAGCTGAAAAATAATTCAAAAAATTTAAAAGAAAGGGCTTGCTTTCTTTCATTCCTTTTTCTATACATGCACAGTGAGAAGGGATATATACCTTTTGAAGTACTTTGGATATATTTTACAAAGAAATGGTTCAACACCAAAGAGCAAAATGACATGTCTTTTCTTTTTTTTTCTTTCTTTTTTTTTATAAAATTTTAAGAAAGAGAATTCATTCATATAACCAAAGACGTACAAAGAGCAACATGATACAATGACCTCATTAAAACCTTCCTAGGACAACTTCATGGGACAAACCTCAGGGGAGGAAAGAGCATCATACATGTCATTGACTAACAAGAGAGTTCAATTCAGGTCACTCTGAACCATTACAATAAAAGAACAAATCAAAAAAGAAAACTAACACAAAACCGCAACTAGAGACTAACACAGTAGACCCACATGAGAGGACCACAGAAATCCCAAATAGTAAACCCACAGGAGAGGACCACAAAACATCCCAACTGTCAAAAAAAGTCTTCTATGAGCAAAATCATAGTCCTTTGACACTCACACAAATTGCAAGGCATACAATAACATAAACCAGGAGAGAACACGGAGGAGGAACACCGAAACAACATTAAAGGACCCTTGAGAAGCACTCCACTTCAACTCATAACCTGACAAAGAAAACCTCCTATGACCAAGCATAGTTCTTCCATCGGTGCAAAGTAGAGAAGAGCACTAGATCCCAACAACTACCACCAATGTTGCTGTTGTCGCCGTCATTGAAATAGAGACAAAACATCAGCCACCAGGTATCACAACTCTCCCGAGGAGAGACACAATCCAGCATCACTACTGTTGCCACCGCCGAGACAAAGACAACACCAGTCACCTAGAACACTGCAAAAACAACCAAACAAAACAAACAGACAAATAGACCTAGATCCAAACAAATCTAGACTATCTGCGGATGGGAAGGGGAGGAGGAAGGGATAAGAGGAAGGAAAAAGATGGAAGAAAAAGAAAGGGGGATGAGGAGAGGAAGGGGAAGATGAGCAGTGGCCACCTACCCCCTTAGCTTCCTTGGTGCTGCTAGGGTTTCTCTCTCTCTCTCTCTCTCTCTCTCTCTCTCTCTCTCTCTCTCTCTTATTCTGCGGTAAAATGATATGTCCTTGTAAGGTGCAATTTTCTACTTGACAGAAAGTAAATAAGAGATCACCAACTTCTGCTCATGCATCTTGAAAAGTATTAATTTGTACAAAATTGACACATCCTTGCTTCAATTGGTGACAACTGCTACCTCTTTCTTCTGTTTACCTTTAAAGGAAAACTTATATATAATCATCTGCATAGAATTATTTTTACAGATCCACAAGAAGAAAGAAAGTTTTAGTTTGCATTCAAATTAACACATATCATGTTGATAAGAAGACCTTACATATGTGTTAGATAGATGCAGATCAGACGGTGCTGGTAACATCACAGATGTGGGAATGCAAGAGATGATGACAGAAGAAGAGAAAGCACACTCCCAACAGTGGCAAAGATCTCTTTGGCCAATGGCGGGTTGTGCTCTCTCTCTTCTGTCAACATGATCTCTCAGCTCATTCACATTCACATCCATCCACCCTCAATGCCACAAGGCATGCCTTCATCCCTGCCAGTGGAAAAACCATGAATTTGGATAATGCATACAAAAATCAATCATATAAACTTGCCTTTTGACCCCAAAAGTATTACACATATGATCTTGATTTTTTTTTATCAACATATCCCTCACCAATATGAAAGTTTTATCAAAACAGAGTTGCATATGTCTATATATATATATATAGAGAGAGAGAGAGAGAGAGAGAGAGATGAAAAACAAGAAAGTTAAGAGAAGGCTCAAAGAAAACCACCACTTTCTTTCTTCTCCTTTCCATGACAAATTAAGAGGAAGTAAAACCACCAAAAAATAACTGTTGAGAAACAAGGACTAATGAAGCAGAACAAATACGTATGAGCTAAAAACTCATCTGCAAAGACTACTTTGAGTCTCTGTGAGAGTGAGAGATACGTATAAGCTAAAAACTCTACGACAATGGAACAGTTACTGATGGATACCTCCTCTAATAGGGACCTTTACCTCCTCTTATAGGGACCTTTTCCTCCTCTTGTAGGGACCTTTTGCGACTTGCTGTAACCGGTGACTTGTGAACTTTGACCGGCTAGTGAGGTTAAAATGGTCCTTTGAACGCATTTATATATGCCTCTGTTGTAATTTTAGCAGTTTCTTTCTACAAATTTGGATTAAAACCCTTAACTATCACAGACTCACAGTTATTATTAATGTGATCAAGAATTATTCAAAACCTGTATTTAATTAAGCAGCAGAAAATGACGTTTATTTAATTAAGAACCGTGTAAGCAACCTCTGTAAACCAAAAATGGTGAGGAGGATGTTGACCGGCTATTCAGGTCAGGTGGATCCAATTTGATTCTCTCACCTTACCAATACAATGCAATTATCACGCGTGATGCAAGAGGGGGGCATTTTTGTGTGGACGAAATGCAAGAGAGGGGCATGGTTTTCGTGGCTGTGGAGAATATCTTGACCGTTGAATGATGACACGTGGAGGACATGCAGGGTGGTTAGGTTGGTGATTTGGTATATGGCTAGTGGCTTGGCTTGATGACTGTGATGAAAAAAAATTCTGCATTCATGTTTGAGTTATTATCATTTCATTTTCTTTGAATTTACAGTTACTTGTTTGAACATGATAAATAAACCAAAAAATAAAGAAATTAAAAGCATTGTAAAATTGTTTTGTAATTTCTTTTAAGGGTTAAAAACGTTGAAACCTTGTGTACAGCTTCCGATAAAAACTCTAAAGAAGCTTTTATACAAAGGCTTCATGCCACGCTGAGATGCAAAAATAACAGCAATGAAAATCAAATCACTCATGCATATAATTACTCGGCTTTTTTTATTTTTGAAAAAGGCATTTTAGTACATATAATTACATGTGTTTTCTTCCTAACGTCACATTCCTAACAGTATACAAAAATCTCAATAGATAGAATCTGTATAAATTAGTTTGAGTAATTGAGTCAGCAAAACACAAACGCAGGATTCACTTCATTTTTTTCACCCAAGCTCTCTCGTTCTAGGCTCTCCATTGCTGCCTTAGATTCAATCAATTTATTTTTCCATTTAGTACCAACTGCGTCTGCCTGATCCGCAAACAAGATCTTTGAGCTGGGTGAACTGCAAATGTCTTTGTAAGTTTCATAATTAGCAGCTTGGGTATTTCCACCTTCCAAAAGTCCAGCAAGAGGATGCAAAACTGAGACCGGACCATCACTTCTCTCTAAAGTTTCCTTCAAAATAAGAAATTCAGAGACAAATTTTTCCTTGTTAAACTGAACAAATACTGCAGTTTCGTCCAAGTGGTAGATCGACGTGACAGATGTTGGGCCAAAGACTTTTGAGATGCATTCTCGTATGTCCCGTGCCTTGAGTTTTGATGGGAATCCCCAGATTAAAGCAATGTTCTCAAACAAAATCTCTGGGCACCTCTTTTTGTGGTTAGTATACCCCAAAGATACTGCATTTTTCTTACCACTGGTTAAATCAATAATGTCTCTATTACTCCAACTAAGGTATAGAAGGTTGATGTGCTTCTGCAGCTTCTCATTGTGGGCCAAATGTTCAGATGGCAAAAACGACTGAAAATCAATCCCTAGATGACTGCATGTCTGAGCAAACACACAGCCTGTCATAAAAGCATCATATCCCGCTTCATGTTTGGCTCCAGAATTCCAGTTGGAGGACCTGCAAATAGATAATTTTGATAAGACTGACTTATTTCTAAAGTGCCTCCTCTGCTTTTCCTTTTCTTTGTATATTAAACAGGGAGGACTATTCATTATTTTGATTATCTTTCTCAATATTTACTGGTTATGCTATGAAAGAGATCAAAATGTTCACCTTATTCTTTCGAGTTTTCACCCTTTATCTTTTATGTTTCCTTTCAAAATGTGGCAACAAAACTATTGAGACCCACCAAATAAATGAGGCACTTCCAAGTTATTATTATGGGCAGATAATGGAAGAAGCAAACCTCAAATCATCCACTTGAACTTCAACTTTAACACACGATTGGAATGCCAGATCAGTGCTTTTCTTCCCAAGAGCAATTTGTGGGCATAACATGGCAAATGCTGACGAAAGTGATGTTTGGGACTTCTTCATCCGTTGCTGAAGCACATCATTAGCATTCAAGAGCATTTTGGTGTCAACGACATACGGAAAGCACTTGTTAACAGAAGAGACAAACTCTTCAGCAGTAGAAGGAAGAGGACCTACAAATTTGCTGTATATATGTGCAATATCTGTATGACAGCAAGAAGACGTCTTAGCAATGTACAAAATAAAATTCAACTGTTTATGAAACTAGCACAGATATTTATACCAAGAAAGCAATTGTGACCAACAATCAATTTCTGTTCTGATGAAAGAAGGTCAATAACGTGACGAAACCCAACTGCAGCTTGAACCTTCACCTCTGCCTGTCTACAATGCTCATCCTTCACCTCTTTCTGCAAAAGGTTTGCAACAGAAAATTTTAAAATTCACATGATAACAAGCCCAGACATGTCCCTTTGTGATATATTCTGTTCTCCCTATTGCACTTTCAGCACAAACATGTTCCCATAAAAGTATTTTGAAAAAACAGAACGTATACATAAATGCCAAATCTATCCCTTGAGAGTAATTTTAATGAACATTGTCATTTGTTTTGAGCCACCAAGACCTCTCTTTAAAAAGAAGAAGAAAAAAAACTGAAATTCTAATAACTGAAAGTCTGAAAACTATTTCACAAAGGAAACATGCTAAGTAATCTTTCACATTTTGGAAAGTTTACCGCAGATCTACCTGGAGGAAACCAATTACTTACCATAAGTAACTCCCTGTCGTCCTTGGAATCTGTACGCACAACTAGTTGCTGCTGACAGGTCTTTTCACCATTTATCTGAACATAAGCAAGATCTTGGAAATGCCTTCTGATGACCTGCATGATTTCATTTTAATATTCAGCTCAATAAAACCAAGACTGAGAAGAAACCATGTTATTTACATCCACATAGAATCCATCTCAGCATAATCACAAAAAGTACAAGAAAATATTGAAACAACAAAATTGGAAACCAGGTTTCCTCAAATGAATAAAACTTCCTTCGAGTACGTTTGACTCATTTGAGGAAATTACCCAAGAATGTCTAGGAATGATGTTCTAGACCACATATCCAAGATTCATTTGTAACGAATAACAATCAAACGGTAGAAGATTAAAATGCAAAAAAAATTACCAAATGAATCAACCTAAGCTGATGAGAAGTGAATCCACTCAGACTAAGAGCAGGACGCATCTTAAAGAAAATGGTTCGTAACTGTTGTTGGGAGTCATTTGAGTTTCCCTGAAATTGGAGTTCTCCATTACTATTTCTCAACAACCCATCACGCCATTCAGTGAATATGTTCTTCATCCGTTCAGTGAAGAGAGTGTCAGCCATCTTGACCACTGGCATGTGCACAGGTTCTTTCAAGTTTGACCATTTAGCCAATAATTCATCCTCATATGCCAAACTCAAATGTCTTAGTGCCTCAATTTCCTGTCCTTTGGATAAATAAGATATTCCTGATATTGTACAACAGTCCTATTTTACAAACTGAGAGCATCTTTAAAAAAAACTAGATGAAATATGAGCCACACCTGATAAAAATTCTTAAATCATTACTTCATATAACAACAAAACAACTGCACTACCTTCATGTATGCAGATATTGAAATCGAACTGGTATTTAGCTAAGAAATCAATTGATGTAGTCTGGCATAGGAACTCATAAGCGGGGTTTGTGGCTGAAATCTCTTGACGCGGAAAAATATAGAAATTGTGCCTGCCAGAGTATACATATTGTTAAACAATAAAAACTAAATAAAAGATTTACAATGGGGCAGCTTTGTTACACAAAATCATTTTATCTCAGATGAATGTGCTTTTGCATCTGCTTCAAACTACACAAAACAAAGCTTAACATCCACACAACTAAAGGTTCTGATACAACAAACACATGTATAAACCAGGAATGTAAACAATTTCGGTCAAACCAATCTCAAATTTTTCTTCTTTTTTTGTAATTTAAATTTACCTGCATTTTAAAAAAACTTCAAAAATTGAGCTTTTCACTCCAAACGCCAGAGAAAAACACTCAAAATCAAAATTGTGTCCTCTCCCAGCAATTTCTCAGCAAACTAGTGAAAAGTCAATGTGCCATTAACAAGAAACTCATGTACTATCCCTAAATTTCTGTTCTTTTCTTACTTCCCCATTTTCTTGGCAGCCAAACAGAGGACAAACTAACAACTAAAAAGAAAGATAAATGGCTTCGAACAAAAAAAAAGAAAAGAAAGAACAATGGCACGTACGGATGAGCAATGAAGGAATGCTTGGAAGAGTCCCATCGAAAGGGGCAAACGCCGAACTGAAGCACAGCAAACTTCTCGGCCGAGTCCTTGACCTTTAGGTAGCAGACGTCGGCTCGGTCGAACTCCAGCGAGTCGCGCCACGGCGCGCTGG